TAAGAAGTGCTCAGGGTCCCCCATTATCCCTCCACCTCTACTGAATCCTCAGTATGTTGCCCGGAAGAGCTTTTTAGGGTTGTTCAGGGGTTATTGTACATTGGCTGTAGGGCAGTTGTGGAGTAATCAGTGGTCTGCTGTAACGTGTTCAAGGCACTTCCAAGATAAAATATCCTCATCTGCCAACACTTAAGACTGCATTGCTACAGCAGGTGAGTCAGGTGAGGCATCCAGAGCACAGCCTGTTCCAGTTTTGTTGGCTGAACTTTCACTGGCACCAGCAGAGGAGGTCAATAAGGTGCTTGGACAGTGAAGTGAGTAATGCCTTCTTGTGGTAAGTTCCGGTCTTGGGTCACCTGAAAGAGGCCGTGGTAAGACCATTCTTGACTAAATCCTCCCTGGACCCAGCAGATTTTGACAAATTTAAGCCAGTGGCAAGTGTTCTTTTCCTGGACTGAGTCCTTGAGCAGGTGACGGCTAACTAATAAGAAGCATTTCCTTAAGAACTACATTTTCTGTCCGACCAGCCAAGTTGACATGATGCTAGTTCTGCATCTTAAATGACTGATGCTGTTCCATATTTGTACTGGGACAAGAACTGACTCCTCCATTTCCTATGTGGCTTGGTGGTGAGCAGCTTTCTGATTCAAAGCACTCCTAAAAAAACAACATGCCTTAAGAGTTTGTTTTCTCCAGTCCTGGAAAGCAGGAAGGAAAAGCAGCAGGGAAATGAACAAAAGAAGCCACTCTTAAAACCATGTGTGAAGCTCTTAAAACTATTGCTCTGGGCTATTTTAAGCAAGCCTTTTGAGCTATTTGACAGTGAGCATTCACCATTATTAAATACTATATGCACACATTGCATTTCCCAACCCCCATCTCCATCTCCTGAATTGAAACCGCTGTAAATTATCAACATTAAGGGCAAGCAATATAAATAGTATTAGTGACCACCTTCTACCATAACAGAATAAGGTAAGAGAAAACAGTACAAAGCTGGAAATTTCAGATCATATTCCAGTTTTTTTGGATCTGCAATTTACACATACACCAAATATCTATGGCTTTTTAATGTTTTTATTAAATGATGCACTTAAAAAAACAGTATTGAGATATACATTTTGAAATTAATGAGGGTACAGTTAACTTCTGCTTCATTGAGTGGAAAGCCAGCAAAGCCTTTATACAGGGCCAAACTACTGTCTGTACGTGTATGAAAACATTCAAAAAGGAATCAGCCGCCTTAAGCAAAAGGTTGAAAAACCTTGCAACAGAGCTTGCCATTTCTCCAACAGCATAACTGGAGATGCAGCACATGAAATATGAATTGAACAATAACCTCTTACAGCAGATGCAAATAGTTTTAACAAGTTTACGAAAGGCATCTTGGGAAAATGGTGGACACCCTAGTAAGCTTTTAGCTCATCAACTCAAATAACAAAACACTGAAATACTATTTTGGCTATTAAAGATGAAGGGAGCCATTCCATCAGTGTATGATTGTATATCCCATTGGATTTTAAACTGAAGAAAAGAGGAGGGTTGCATTTTTATTTTAATCAGATACATACATGATCTTAGTCAAAAGGTTGCAGTGGGGTGTTGATCAATTTCAAGACAAGGGTTTTCACATTTCTGGGCAGAGCCAATTGAACTGCTATTACATAGTCTCCCAAGTCACCCCCATACCTTACAGTCTCCACCTTCTGGCCATCTATGGTGTGGTTTTCTCCACCTTCTTCCATATTTGGACATGTGTGTGAGAGGAATTAAAAGTGTGTTGAAGAGTGTCTCTTAGTATTACCAGCTACTCTGGCACAGTCACAGGGCAAAAGCAGACATGCCCTGCAAAGGCAAAAGAATGGAACTTTGTGCAGAACTATGCTGCAGAGGTAATAAATTTTGGAGCAGCATATGGAAACTTTTTTCATGTCAATTTCCCCTGCTTAAACTCCTCACAAAGGCAGTCTCTTTTGCATACTGAGGAAATCAAATACATACAAAAGTGGGAACCAACTTGAGCTGGATACATTTTCAACTGAGTGGTATAAAACATTTTCCAGCTTTCCCATTTCTATAAGTTTATTTTTTTAATTGGGTTTTCTTTGGTCAGTACTCATTACTGATTCCTCAGCTTGATGGAGATGACACCTACTAGATTAATTAAATAGCAACCTACTTAAAATAAAATACCAACTGCAATTTTAGCTGATAGAGTGCATCAGATTATTAAGCATTAGTCTAACTAAATCAGGAAGCTTATTAAAAAGAGACAGGGGTCAGATAATCTCAGACTGGTTGTTGACCTGATTGCACTAAATATGGACAGGATGCATAAAATTGCCATGGTTTCTTTGACTGTCTCTGTCCCCCACCAAATTTCTTAACATAGCTAAAATAAATTTTATTTAAAATATTGATAGATAGGCATATTTAAAATTGAGATATGTAGTAGGGTAAATACACTGAAGATGAATCTAATATATTATCCATTATCCCGCTATTTATATCTGGGAAATATTTCTGTTAGGAATCGGTGTAAAGAACGGCATTAGGTCAGGATTACATGAACTTTGTAACTGTAGAAGCAGCAGAGAACAGAGACAGGAAGCTTTGCTTTTGCCTGCATGCTTCTAATCCCGACTTTTAAGATAAGTAAAATATTTCTGTTGTTATAAAATGTTGCTGTTTGTGGCAAGGTTTGTATATAAAAACAACACAGAGTAACTTGTGTGCTTAGTTATGGTTTTCTCTTATGTGCTGTGACATGTATACATTTCTGGCAGACTGTCAAATGAGTACAGTGCCTTAAGACCTGCTCTCTTGCATACTGTCGCACACACTGTTGCTTACTGTGTGTGTTTCTGTGGTGCTGTTCTAATAAAATCATTGCTTTTCTTTAACTTTCAGCTTATCTGTATGTTTACTTGGCTCTGACATTTCCAAAAATGCACTGCTTTGCTTTGTAATTCTTACGCTGTTCCCTTCCACCACAAGAAGCTGCAACTCTTGACTGGCCTCTCAATATACCAGAATATCTAGGCTACCTTCCACAGTTTCAGTGTAAGCGAGGTGTGGTGCACAGCATCACCTATGGAATGCGCTCCCCAGAGAGGTCCTTATTTGTTTTTCGGCGCCAGGCCAAGACCTTTTTATTTAAATGCTATTTTAACTGTTAATGGTTTATTTGTTGGTTTAAATTGACCAGGCTGGATCCACTATTTTATTTTATTTTTTGTATTTTATTTATTTGATGAATTTTTTGTATTTTATATGGGATTTTAATGATTGTAAGCCGCCCTGAGGCTCATGCGATGGGGCGGCATTTGTTTAAATAAAATAAATAAAATATCACACTGACTCATCTGTTTTTGCATGGAAAATTAACTTTATGAGGAAACCCAGAATTGGCAAGAAAATGTTCAATTGATTTCTTTCTGTTTGGATTATCTAGCAGGTCCAGATAATTTTCTGCCATTCTGTTTTGCATACCAAATATGATTTGCCAGGTATGGCTGAATGACAGTACATGCAAATGCAACGTTTGCTGGAATCTAGATTTGGACCAATTGAGCTCCCTTTGTTATTGGAAATAGTGAGTGAGGCTGAGCGGTTCCATTTACCAATGGTTCAGGTTTCTAAATTATCTATTGTTGATGAATAAATATGACATGCAGGGTCTTAAACAAAAACAGGGTAATACTTTGGATTGCCATATCCTGGCCAATCATCCATCTCATAAGCGTTAATGGATCTTAGGTCATGTCTGCTTTGGCAAAACTGTATGTTTTTCGTACATTGGATGCCACAACATCTTTCTAACAAGGGTTTGTCTAAATTGGCTGTTGGAGAAAAATACAGTGCTTCCCTTACCCATATGCTTTGGCAACGCCAGATGGCTGGTTCTTTTTGGGAAGAGGTAATCATATGGATAAACTTTGTGATGGAAGCTTTTTTAATGTGCATGGTCTTCTTAAGTCTCTATCTGCTTTTTGGAACTTAATGCAAAGTCAACATATTCACAATGAATACCCTTTATTGCCTAATGCAAAGGTGAAAAGGGGTGGAAAAATATGAAAGTGGCTAATTAGACTGGAGACAACAGTGGAAGGCCATCTAGGGAACCATTAAGACCCAGATTTGGACCCTAGATCTGAGGTTGTTTACCCCTGCTTTAGGCAGTAAAGGGTACTTGTGTATAATTCATATATATTCTACAGTGCATAAAGCCCTAAGTATAACTTTAATAATTATGTATTTGGCATTTGGGTGGTTGCTGCTTATTACCATGACAAGAAAAAATACACCGTTTAATGATCCAAGTCATGTGTCAATTAAAGATAACAGAACTGAAAATACTTGCTGCCATTTATATACCCCACAATCCATAGAGTGTGTCCTAAGAGCACAGCTGGGGAAACCCTGTGCTGCCTGATTAATTTTCCAGCCCTGAGCCAACTCTTCTCTATGTAAGAATGCCTTTCAGACCCCATGAAGCCAAGGGCAGGCAGGAAAAAAAAAGGCAGAAGACCCATATGGTTCAAAGTTGTGACCTGGTTCTACACATGCTCATCCCTGTACAGTGTGGCGCATGACCTAGGCCAGACAGAACATGTGGGATGCCCAGTGTGACCTTGAGACAGTGCAGGAAATGGCCCAGCAATCAAGCTCTCTCTAGAGGAATATCTTAAAGAGAAGCAGCCATTGCATTCTTACGACCCCTGGAAACACTGTCATGGGTGACAAGTGATGATGCACAGCTGAGCCGACAAGGGGGCAAGTTAGGGTTTTCGAAATTGTTTTCGGGTTATGACGCCAGAACACAGAGGAGCCGCAGTCACTTCGAACGCAGCAGGTCGAACAAGGGCGCTTCCGTCCGCCGCCAGCCGAGTTGCGACACAAGGAGGTGGAAACGTCTTAGCCAATGAGAGCAGCCGCAGGCGGCCGAACGCTCTGGCGTCACTCGCACGCACTCCTATGTTGCAGCACGAAGCCCCGCCCCTTCCGTGCCGGCAGGTTCCTTGCTTACCGAGCCGTTGCCCCTCGTGTCCTCCTGGCGGAAGTCGCGGCTTCACGCGCGCGTCCTGCCGTCGCTGCCTGCTTCGGCGCCGATCCTTTCTCGGGCTCTCGCCTCCCTCTGGTGCGCGGCGCTATGAAGCACCTGCCGTATTTCTGCCGCGGCGAGGTGGTGCGGGGCTTCGGGCGAGGCTCTAAGGAGCTGGGCATCCCCACAGGTGAGTCCGGCACCGGAGGGAGCAAGGCCGGCCGCTCTGACTTCCGCGGCTGGCGTGGGATGGGAGTGGATTAGTCAGCGAAACGGGGCTGAGCCGCTGTGCTGGGCGCTGCGTTGGAGGGTCGCGGGTGACCGTGTCCAAGTCATTCACTGGGTGACTTTGGGCCCGACTCTCTGCCTGCTCTGCTTCTCAGGGCTGTTGTACAGATAAAAAACTGAGCAGGATCATGTATGCACCTCCGGGCTCCTCGGAGGAAAGGCTAGGGATATGAATGGAAAAAATAAATGACAGAATAAATCCCCCCCCCCCAACACAGTTTGCCTCTTTCGGTCGTTTTCTCGTCTTTACCGAGGGGCAGAAAAAGTGAGAGCAACTCAAGGCGAAAGAAAGAGTTCTAGGAAGTCACATGCTCCGAGGGGATGCCTGCCCATTTTTCAGTTTCATTTGCATCTGTTTTAGGATTTTCGGGAATCTCTGGCAAGCTTGGTCAGCTAGGTAGAAATACAGTTTCGGTTTTCGTTTTTTTCTTTTCTTGTAATCGCTGCTTTTCACTTGAACTTGACAGAAGCTGGAAAAGCTTTGATTTTTCTTCATTTTAAATGGGCTTAGAACAGCCTTCACAAGAGGTACTTCATAACCTTTGGATCCTAGAATATTAGTTTATTGACTTATTTAATTAAAATGTGTCTTGATTGCTTTTCAGGAGCCCTCCAAGGCAGCATGCTACAATAAAATGCAAAATAAAATATTTATTTAAAAAAAAACCTAAGAAAACCCATTGATAGCAAAGATATTAGGGAAAGGGCAAAACAAAATAGTTTGTTTTCATGGCTTTCTTAAAAGCGTGCTCTGGTGCAGCTGGTGCAGCAACCTTTTTCCAGAGGTGTGGGGCTATTAGAGCATATGTGAATTGCAAATATGATTGAAGAACATGGACAAATGCTTATGCCACAATAAATATGCAGTCCTTTTGATGCCAGGCAAAGACATACTAGTATATCTGGGCATGGCACAGTTATTGTAGGCTGCTTTTGCAGTGTGCCTTCTAGGCTGTGAGAGCAAACTTTCTTGGGGAGAGTGCTCCATAAACATGGACTATCACAAACTGTTCCTTGACTGCCTGCCCACTTCCCTGTCTCCCAGACAAAGGTCTCTGAAGCTGACCTCAGAAGCAGGTAGGTTCATATACAGAGAAGTGGTCCTTGAGGTGTTGTGGTCCCAACAATTAAATAAGGTGTCACAGAATTCTTTTTGCATATTTACTGTAATAGCTATTTCTCTGGAAGACTTCACAAGCACTGCTCATGGTATCTTTTTGTCCTATTAGAAAGCAGGGGTATTTTCTTACATGTCAACAGAAGTACGTCAGTTTCCCATGTCAGGTCAGGTACATGAATGCAAAATCCTTGTTAGTGAGAATTAAAATATTATTCTGCATGGCACATTAGCAAATGATGCATCCCAGATCTGAAGTAATCCCTAATATGTTTAATAAAACATTTTAAATGGTGGTGACTCCTATTACTACATAGAATGGAGCAGTGAACTAGTCCACAGGAGATTTAGGAAGACTCTGATAAAAATGTTTTAATTTGTTATTTGGAGTAACTTTATGCTATTCCTTGACCTAAAGCGCTCCCATGTCTGCTTAAATATAATTCATTATACAAGACAGACTGGTTTAAATGGATTAAAACTGGTTTAAATTAAATAAGGCAGGCTGATACATATTAGTGTGTGTATGTGTGTCTGTTGCAGGGGAGCTATTTTCCTTACTGAAAACAAAGGATGATATTTGGTATCCATGCTGGTGAAGAGAACAAAATGACTTGTAGCCACATGGATAAATTTATTCTGTACAAAACAAAAATCTTAAGAGTTGTTTAAATGGCTGCATTGTGTCGCTTTTAAACATAACTTGACTTAAAACTAATCTTAACATTAAAAGATACTTATTGTAAATATGATGCAATATACAGGGATGTTTTGTATATTTGGACTTAGAAGAAATAGAATTTTTCTAGTAGCTAATAAAATTAATCATTTTGTAAATGCATGAATTGCAAAAAACAAAAATGTAAACTTGCTTCATGTAAAATGTCACTTTTCTTAGTGACTTAAGCAACTGATATAAAGGAAATTCATTTAAAATTGGGCTAGCGTTTGGAAAGTCCCTGCTGATCTTGGTATTGGCTATGCTCCATCAAACCAGGAATATATTTGCCTGAAAGGGAATTAAGGGTTGTAAATACCTTGTAAGATAAAATAATATTTGAAACAACTTTTATTAAGTCAAACCCAAATAATACTAATTTTGTTGGGCAAAAAAGCAGTTAATTATATGAGCTGAAGAAACACCACTCAAAACTTTAAACCTTCTAGGGAAACAAACTTTCTTAGGTGTTTCCTCCATCTTTATGTTGTATAAGATTTTTTTATATAGTCCATATAAGTCTCATTTATGTCTTGCAGCAAACTTTGCTGAGGAAGTGGTGGATAGTTTCCCACCTGATATCTCTACTGGCATATACTATGGATGGGCTTGTGTTGGAAATGGAGATGTGCATAAAATGGTCTTGAGTATAGGCTGGAATCCATATTACAAAAACGTCAAGAAATCTGTGGTAAGAACATTATGTATTTTATACATAACCTAATCAGTAGGAACATATTCTTATCCTTAGGAAAGTGACCTAAAAGTGTTTCTGAAGGTTTTCATGGTGATCAGGCACACAAATGTGAAACGTCATGCACCCGTTATCAGAACCAATTTGGCTGAAAGCTGTATAGAGCAACTGTGTGGAGGAAGCCCCTGTTGGTCATTGAAAGATGGCTTATAGTTGCTGTTCCACACTGTTGGTGAAAGCCTAGATTAGGGAGGTTGGGAGAAATATAAGAATGGGCAAATTTGTTGCAGCTATTGTGGAAAATTCTGAAGGGAGCAGATGGAGAAGAGTAGAAAGGCTGAAGCTTTCCATCTGTGTTGTACCAAAGTGAAATTTGTATAGCAACACAGAAGGCAATACAAAGACTTCTTACTACTGTATAATATGAAAACTTTCCAGGGATTATTTTAGCTTTCATATTTGGTCTTGAAATGCTAAACTCTAAGTGCAAGCAAACTTACATGTACTAATTTGCATGGAATTTTAATTAATTATGGTCTAATATCTTCACAGTTTGCTAATCTGAATTTACAGGAATGGTTTTATATTAGATTTTTCAGGCTTCCTAATGAAAATACTATATAGGAATTGATTAGCAAGCATAGGCTGTTTAATTTTCAGAAGATGATTTATGTATTTTAAAAATAAGAATGCATCTTTAAGCTGAACAATTTTCAGTTTTTCCCCTTATGTTACTAAATTAATGCTAAGCAGTAAACAATTTGAACAATTGTTAAATCATTTAACTCTTCTAGGAAACGCACATTATTCACACCTTCAAGGAAGACTTCTATGGAGAAATACTTAGTATAATCATTATTGGATACATAAGACCAGAAAAGGACTTTGATTCTTTAGGTAAGTCTTGAGTGCCTTTTGTAAATGCTTTCATTGGAATAAAGCTTCTTCCACAAGTAAGGTTCTAGTGATGAATGAGACCTCAAGTGTGGCTTTATATAGTTTCTGATTTTAAAGCCTGAAATTATATTATAGTCTGCACCAACTGCACACTTTCACAGACACAGCCTTTTATGCAGACTATGGCTTCTCTCAGTGTCTACATTACTTTGAGGTAAACTCTATAGAATATTACAGTAATGTACCAGATTGCTGAATATCCGTTTTCACAATACAGTAGAAATGGAATATGAAGTCATTGGCTGACATTCTGCCTTTGGCTGACAGTTTCTGTCCTTTCTTGTTTCTTCCCATACTTCCTCTTCTTCAAACTGTAGCTTATGCAAACTAGAACTGGAAGCAAAAATTTGAGTGGGTTTTTCAATTTTGGTTTTACTGATCTACAGCTATATCCCAGCATTTTTCAGTGGAACTCAAGGAAGTGTATGTTGGATTTTCCAGTGGCCTGTCTTCCAGGCACTGAACTGACTAGATCTACTTAACTTTAGCAAGGTTTTCAGACCATAATTTACTCTCTCTGGATATAATGAGAAACTGGCTTGAAAGAGGGACTGCATGAGGGCATGAATGGATAGTTCATTCACGTAATTCTGAACCAATCCTACATCTGCCCTTACATGTTGGGTTACTTCTGATACTTTTATCAATATTAGTAAAAGCCTTTTGCTTTTATCAATGTTGTACATTTTAATTAGAATTGGTCTGTGAAATGATACCTGATTTTTTTTTTCTCCTGTGGCAGATGCACTTATAGCAGCTATCCAAGGTGACATTGAAGAAGCCAAAAAAACTCTGGACTTGCCAGAACACCAGAAATTAAAAGATGACAACTTCTTTCAAACTGCTAATACTAGCAGTTTGCCTAATGGTCACTGAGTGATTATGTGTTCTTCATTTGAATTGTAACTGTTTAAATTGCACTTGATCTTTTAGCAGTTGTCATTGTTTAGAGAAAAATGTTCTGACTGAATTCCCTGTTGCTTAGCAGTTTTGTATCCTTTAGCAATATAGTAAAAAGGTAGCCAAATGAACTTTAAAATAACACTACTCATTTTTAAAAATTAACAGTTTGTTAACCAAACAAGTTAGAAACGAAGGTTTTATCATGTGCAATGCAAGATGAGCAAACTGTCTGTTACAAGGTCATGCAAGGCTGGGCAAAAGTCAAGTTTTACAGTCAAATCATATTTAAACATTTCTAATGATACTTACCTATCTTTAATGAAAATACATTTCCTGATTTTCAAATCAGACCAGCATGTCAAAGCAGCCATGCTAGAAATTTTTGTAGTGGGGGAAATCCTGTAGCAAGTAGAGGTGGTTGAGTAGTTGTTACAGTCTTAGAAAATAAAACTATTCCTGTTTTAGATGATTTTAATGAATTAAAAAGGAATGAGTTGAAATTTGGCAAGGAATGATCCTATGGCTCCTAAATAAGTGTCTGAGGGTCCACAGGAATTTTCAGATTCCCAGTGTTGATACTGGAGGCGGTTCTCTGATCTTGGAGCTGGGAGTCAGAGCTCTGCTTCCCTTCCCCGCTCCCTTGCAGTCAACACCGAAAGAACAACATCAGCTGCTGAGGTGGGAAAGTGACACCAGAGAGGGGTAAAAGGGAGTGTGGAGGTGAGGAGACTGCAGGGATTTGCAGCATACAAGGTATCAAGAAGCCACTCCATCCTCCCTTTCCTTTTGAGGCTTTCCAACCCAGGGTGAAAAAGTCTGTCTAGTGAAGTCAGTGCAGGAGTGCAGGGAGGTGAAGATAATTTCTGATGCTGTTCATGCCCTGTATTGGGTGCTTGTAAGCCCCTGAATTCAGGGACTTATGGACATACCAACAGGACTTTGGCCATAATCATTTTGGACCCATTAAAATGAGGCTGATTTCCTCTTAAGTTAATGCAGTTTTTTTTAGCTATCAGTAAAGTTTACCTTTCACATTTTCTTTTAATGTGAGGTGCAAAAGCCCTGATTTCAGTGGCATCCAGTTTTGAAATACAGATCTTTCTGAATCATATTTTGAACATGAGATAATAAAGAATATTCTGTTGAGACTTTTCCCACTAAATCCACTTGATGCAACTTTGCTGTTGAAATCTGATCTGATGAGCAGAATATTTAGTGGCAAATTGCTAACTCACTTGGAAGAAGTTCTGATGAACACACACACAGGGTTTCTTTTACTGCTGCATAATTGTGGCAGTTAGCTCTTGGTGCAACCTTTTGTTTGGGCATGAGCACTAATTACCTACAGTGCCCAAACCTGAAGTTTTATAGGGTGTAGCTTGTATTCTTGATTTGTCCTTGTGTTTCCAGCTTTTATGTTATCTGTATGGGTATATCAAGGAGGATTTTGTTATCCTGGGCAAAACTGTTTTTATGATTTTTTTTAAACCTAATTGTTATTAAATTGTGTATTTAATTATGGTTCTGTATAAACATGACTAAAAGTTCTATAATGAAACTTGATGCTGCCTGACAAAATGGAATACTGGAAGGGAGAATGCTGCGTAAAAGCCTGTTCAGTCTGAAAAGAGGGACTGATGTACAGGAATGCAATACTTTTATAGGTATAATTTGTGTGTGCAGAGTGGATTAGCTGTGGCAAGTGCTGCCATAGTTACTTTCATCCATGTTTGAGCACAAAAGTACACTCATTTGAGAACTGTGCTGTTGTCAGGCTTCATGAGTCAACTTTTGTGTGTACCGTTCATATGTAAATGTACAAATTGCAAGCATACAAAGGATTGCACAGGGACCAGGGCCTGCCACTGTGATAGTGTTTTCCCCTTATACTGTCTATGTACATTCACTATAGGAAACATATGTGTCTCATTTGAGAATGTTTCCTTTGTGCTGCTGATTTGCAAGGAACTTAAGTCCCTTCCCTCTTTATTTTATTGAAATGCCTGTATATTCAGGTGTGGGAGATGCAGTTAAGCTTAAATGCCAGATTCTGCCATTAGTAATTTTCCCCATATGTTTATTCGTTGTAGCCAAAACTCTTTGGGCAGCTCACAGCATGTTAAAGATAATATAAAACTTTTAACACCGCAATCTACCAAAAATAGGATTTGGCACATTTTAGATTGGCTTATTAGCCCACCATAATTTGAGGCTGCCCCTGAGCCCTCAAAGGTTCTTCTGTGGCAGAGAACATCTTGGATCATGCAAGCATCTGACTTGTAGCAGCAAGTTTCATGGTATTTCAGTTAGCTCCAAGGCCTAAAGTGCAAAGTAAGAATACTTAACTGATTATGGGTGGTTTATTTTTTCACAGCACATGGACTTTGGAGCTGGCAAAAGTGCTTCTGCCTCCTTCAGAGTTCACTACTGCTGCTTGAGAACCAGTTTTCCAGATCCAGAATAGAGAGATACTTCCTGCTATGCTGACCATAGGGCTGGGATAAAGGCCCCAGGCAAGCAGATTTAAGGAGGTGAAGGCTCACAAAATCTTTAAGAAATACTAGCAGTTGGAAGTAAGCGTAGTCTCTTACCAGACCCATAACATGATCAAAACTCTGCTTAGTTCTGAATGTGTTACCTACGTATGATTGCCACTTGGCTTATTTTAGAATTTTGTCTTAGAATTTTACAAATATGTGCCTTCTGATTGGGTTTACTTCATGAAACATGGATGCTACTCTAAGACTCATTACATGTATTTGGAGTATTAGTAGAATATGGTAGTGGCATTACATATATTTGGTAAATAGTAATAAAGTAAAATCCAGACATTATAGTTCATTCATCAGCCCTGACCTCCAATGAGTATGTATTGAATACTGTATCTTTATATACTTGTATTTAAATCAAATGATTCATTTTAAAACTGTCACTGTAATTTTATTATTGTTTTATTTTTTGTACTCATGCCAAAAAATAAAGTATGGAAAACATTTTGTGAGTACAGTTATGTTTTGTCTCCCTCGACTTGGGAAAACAAAATATTATCTATAGTTCATTGTTTTAATACAAGATTACATGCTTTTATAGAACTTCAAATGTGAGCAATAGTTTGCTATAAATAGCATAGCAAACAGCCATACTATGTGATACTAAGTGATACCTGCATTGAAGGGAAAAAGTGCTGATATGTCTATACGAGAAATAAACTTATTTATATTTGTAGTCCACCCATCAGCCCAAAGCCTCCCTGTTTGTATTTGGATACATTAGTTCAGCAATGGCAGTGTGTCTTTGGTGATACTTAGATACATACTTATGTATTAAAACATGTTATATTTTTAGTTATGTTAAGAACCTAAAAGCGGATTGGGCAATATGAACATGTCAGTACAGAGTGCCCCAAAGTCTCCACAACCCTGTAACAGCTGCCATGTACCATAAAAATATGCTGCCAGTGCATGCCCCATTCTTAAAAATACTGGCAAAGCCTATGACAGCAAATCTATGCAAGTGTGTGCAGGCATGCATGTGTGTTTTAAAGTTACTTCAGTTATGCAGAGATGGAGGATTTTAGTTTCCGTCTATACTCAGTTTATTGACACTACCTAGAGCGCTGCAGGAGCAAGCAGAGTATGGGCAATGCCCCAGTTCCCTGCCTCCTGCTACCCACTACCCGATGCAGGTTCCTGAACAAACAACTGCTCTGTTTTTAGTAGCATGCTGTGTATTTTCTTTCTTTAACTTCTATACTGCCCAACAGCCACGGCTCTCTGGGCTGTTTTCAGTGACCCATTAAAATCCTGCGAGGTAGCTTTGGATTTTATCACAACTCTCAAAGATGTGTATATTGCCAAGGTACGTATTTTAAGTATGCTTATCTGCAATAAAAATCAAAGCATGGAAAAGGTTCTGAAGTTTGTGTAAAAAGAAAAGATGGGGATTCCAGGCTGTTGTAGAGTCTGGGGCAGGGTCCAGGTTTAAATAGCATCTAAGGTGCTGGTGAAAACGGACTTTCTAGCTTCTTCCAACAGCAGCCCCTAGACTCAAGAGATGCTGCAGAATGGGTTGGGATGAGCTTTTGCGTGTTGGAGGAGGCACCCTATTGTCATGGTAGTGACAGGTTTTGCGAATATTAGCTAGCTAGCCAGTTTGCTGTTGTATAAAGATTTATTTGTTCACACAAAGGTCTATTGCATTAAATTGCAAATGAACAACTCTTACACTCCATAATGTGTATTTCATTTTTGCATTCCGTTCTTTTACAGTGCAATCCTATGCATAGTTATTCAGAAGGAAATCCCACGGCACGTAATGGTATTTATTCCCAGGGAACTGTCACAGAATTGCAATCTTAATTTATTTCTATTTACACAATAATAGTTTCTCTCTTTCCCATCAGAACTGTTATGTAACTATATGTTAATTCCCTTGCATTTATGTACCTTAAAAATCAGTGTTCTGTAATCAACGAAAGAATTACAAGTGCAATTATTGTAAGATTGCTGTCCATCCCCGATGAAATGTTAAAATTTGAAGCAAGTCTTAAAATACATAATTATTATGCTCCTACTGATTCAAGAGGTAGATGAAAAATAAAAATGTGGAGACTAATTTCATTCTACTGACTGTGGACATGGTAAAAAACATTATATACAAAGTGTTGTGATAATGACCTCTACATGAAATGCTCTTTAGGTTGCCTGGAAGTATGCTCCACTGAAAACGATTGAGTTACACCTGAGTAAATATGTGTAGGATTGTTCCACTGCTATAGAGCCTTGGGGGCCTTCTAGTACTTTTGGAGAGAATACTAACTTTAGCCGCCTACTAGAAAGGGAGCAAAGTACCATAACAAAATTAATTATAGTGCAAACAAAAATCACACAACAGCAAGACATGTAATTTAAGCTCACTTCAGTTGGGCTTACTATTTAAATATAAATGTGCTGCTGTTAATAGCAGGTTGCTTAAAGATTGACAAGAATTTTTGGATCGATTTGTACATGACATGAATGTTAATTACTCAGCAGCTGAGTTCATACATAACAACTATACAATGCTAAACCATATGGAGAAGAGGCAACGAGTCTCAGCCTCGCGCTCTTCCTTGCCTTATCCCAGATGTAAGGGAGAGTTCAGAATTTTTAGGCCAACCACAGTTAGTCATAACATCCAAATCCATACAAACTGCATTTAGTCTTATGTTTAGTGGAAAAAACCCAACTTCAGAACACAGTTTATAAAGTGGGCTTGTTTTCACCATCATGGTTAACATTTCCCAGTGTTAAGAATTTCAGTGTATTGCTAAACTGTGGTCAAACTAAAATGGAAGTGGAATGTCGAGTTTCCGCACAACCATGCTGAAGCAGGAAATGGAAGCATGTGAACAGGTGAACACTGTGGCTTTTCTCTATAATACTAAACTATGGCTTAGCCTTAAGTTCACATCAGGCCTTTCATTGTTTGATGACTTCTGGATGAATGAAAACAAGAGTATCAAGTGATGCTTAATTATAGCTCTTGTCTGTGATCATCTGTAACGCAACCTAGGGGCTCCAGCTACCAAGGGATAAACATACATGCCTGAATTGACCTTTTGCCATATAATACAAAATACTAAAAGCAAATGTTGGATTACCAAAAGAGAGAATCAGTGTAAGGAAGTGCTCTAAATGCCGTGCAGATTATTTAATCTACCAGTATCCGAACATTCCTAACAGCATAGGCAAAATAATGAAAGTGGTCTGAAAAATGTTTTCAGATTTCTATTATGTGTGGCTAGTATTAGCAGTTAGCTGTATGTAGTACACTGAACCTCTGCCATGAGATGTTTTATCCCTTTTTAGATAAGCAAATAGTATGTCACAAAATGTACAGTGTACTGACAAGTAGCTAGTCTCTATTAATCGGGTATGGCTCTATGCCTTTTCCTCTAGCATTTGGAAAATGGTGATGCTCTTAAACCAAAAGAAATTCAACTAAGGTATTTTGTGTAATTAAAATGCCTTATGATCCCCTATAATTGATATAATTTAGTACAGAAGAAAGCAATATATCTTAAAATAGAGTTTAAACATTTCTGAGTGGATACAGACAACCATTTACCAAGGGGTTAGCTTACTGTGCTGTGCATATAATGGTGCCCTAATTACCTTTCATTGCCAAGTGGTAAGGAAAACAATTTTACACCAGGTGCAGCTATATAGCAAAGGGTTGTGTGTATCATTCAGGTGAGACTCTGAGCTTTCACTGAGTTCATCATCATCTCCCAATAATTTACTGTGCTGGACAGCAAAGAGAAAAGGACTTATGCACTAACTAAAGGTTATCTAAAGGAGTAACTTTCATCATCATATTCCAGTTCATCTAATTCATCATCCTCTAGTAGTCCATATTTGAATTTACGATAGACTGTGCCATCTTGGCCCATATAGACTATGTCGTCGTCATCGTCGTCGTCATCATAATCTCGGTCCTTGTATTCAATCACTTGATCTTCTTGATAACTGGGGCGTTGGTAGTGGTTACTTTTGAAAGAACTGAGTGCTTTTGAGTTGTCTGCCAGTTTTTCATATCCACCTTGGTTAACTGGCTTGGGTTTGGGCCGTGATTTTCTCCAAATGAAAACAATAGCTCCAATGACGAGGATCAACAAGATGGATATGGCAACTATCAAAGCTGCAGCTTTACCTTTTCTCTCTCCTGACAAGTCAGCAATGCGTAATATACAGTAATCTGAAAAAGAAGGGTCAACAAACCTTTAACATATTAATGCATTATATTATACATAGAAATACAGGGTAAGTCTTAACTGGCTTTTCCATTCTTTATAATTTTATAATTGGGATGCATCTAAGAACTTGTCTGTTCATGTTCACAGAGATATTTATTTATTTATGTAAGATATTTGTATGCCGTCCTTTGTGAGAACCTCAGGACGGCTTACACAAATATAATTCAAAACATAATATAGGGTTGTATCCAGATTTATTCACATGTACAGTAAGTAGTCCTGTTGATACAAATTGCACTTACTAGCGTTTGGCCGTTATTAAACTGAAGGTGAGGACTGACATGACTGAAAAATGGTCATATGAAAAGCAGTCCATACTTTGCTTGGAATAGAAAAATCTTCTGGGGGGAAAGTAATAGTTTGCTCTTCTCCTTGGCTCATCCTAGTTACATACTGTATGTGCAGTAAGACTTTTCCTTATGAAATTGAGCTTCTACGTGTGTTGGTATACTCCAGAAACAAATTTACCACCTCATTTGTTGTTTGTGAGAACTGGGCCCTTGACCGGCTCATGTAAGGCTGTTATCAAGATTGTTTGCTAGCTTGATCTACAGAAAATCCCTTTGGCAGTGTTGACTCAACATAGTGTGTAGCTTGACCTGAAGGACAGGATGGTGTCTCCTCCCCAGTGGACACACAAAAGCTGGCTGAACTGGTGCTTCCTACTGCTGATGGAATAGAGTCTTCCATCACAAGTGAGGCAGCAAGCTAGAGTTTAGAGGGCCCAGAACAAGTTGTGGGGCTTTCATAGCTTTGACCTCCCACAGAGAAGAGCAGCCAGAGAACTTGTGAGGAATAGCAGAGAGGCTGCTGCCCCACACCCTGCATCTGCTGCTTCACCCTATCTAATGGTTGGTCCTGCCTTCTGGCTTTCTCATCATCCCCTGTGATACCAAACTGCAATCATGCTGCCCTCACATGCCAAATCATTTAGCTTAGAAATAAGCATATAGGGGATGTTATGTAGGGATATCTAAAAATGCTTCTGCAAGGTGGCACGCCAGGGGTCAAGGGTATTTTGTTGATTTCATTTATTTAATTTCTATACCACCCAATAGCCATAGCTCTTTAGATGGCGAACAGTAATAAATTCAATAAAACACAATATAGAACAAAACAATAATGCATCAGGAAAATACTTTTAAATGTCAAACATTTTAAACCCTATTTTTACAACTAAATGGCTAAAATTGTTCCATACTGCTAGGCCTTTAGGAAACCAGCTGGTGATAGTCTCCCACTGCCCTCACAAGTTATTTGGAACTGGGAAATGCCTCTTAAGGCCAGGTGGAGAGATTATTCTATAATTTGGGTGTTACTGCAGAAGAGGCCCTCTCCTTGTGGCTATGAGCTGAGACGCCTCTGAAGTTGACACTCAGAAGAGGGCCTCAGAAGCTGAGCATAGTGCCTGGGTACGCTGTGGTTGGATACTATACCAGTAGATACTGGGTTCTAAGCTGTGAAAAGACTTACAGGCTAAAACCAGCTCCTTCCGTTGGGCTCAGGTAGTTGTACATATAGGCTCCCAGTGCAAGTGAGCCAAAATGAGAATTATATGCTCAGTGAGTCTGGCCCCAGTGCATCTGGCTGCTGCATTTTGTACAAACATCAGCTTCCAAACTGCCTTCACAGGGAGCCCCATGTAAAGCATAAAGATGCCCTCGGGGCCAGCATGTAATAAGCCCTGAACAACCCTGGGCAGCAATAGAAGACTGGATAGCAGCACTGAGATGTTGTTTCTTAGCTGTCCTCACTGCCCGCAAATATACCTGATTAGGTATATTAGCAGGGCCTGACCACATCCACCAGGAATTTTCCTCCCTCTGTGCTCTGGCCTTCTCCTGTATTATTTCACTGCTCTTAGCTTTGGGGTTTATCAGAGCTGCACAAGCTCTACCTCTGCTTTGGAGCTATTGTGTCAACTACCTGTCATCCCTGAATGCTAGAGATCAAGCAGGAATTCGACAGCCACCAGTCATAAGGGGCGGCATAGAAATGTTATAATAATAATAATAATTAATAATAATAATAATATCAGCTGAAAAATCCACAAGGACCCTCTGGAAAGTGACCCGATCCATTGGGCTCTGGGAGAAGACTACCTTAATCAGTCCCCAAAGGATAAAAGGTTAGTCTAAATACAAGTGTGAGGTTGCATTCAAAACCTCCTCATTCCACAGTTCTCAGTTATGTGCAGCATCTGTAGTCTTTGTCTGCCTTCGTCTGGAATATGCACAACTGGAAGATTTTCAGGGATATATGAAACTCACTGCCAGCACCCAATCTTGGTTCTTTAAAAGAAGGGGGAAAAATGCTCCCTTCTCATGGTTACCATTTCCCACCACTCCCTTCTCATTGTTACCTGGCCTTGATCTGCAGTCACAACACTCTTGAGTTTGCACAAGTTCAGATTCATTGCAGCATGGCACGCAACGGTTTTCATCCAGGTAGAGCTTCATGTGCAGGTGACATTCAGTACAGTTGAGCGGACCAGGTCCCTTGCACTGCATACAAGAGTCGTGGCATTTTTTGCATATTGGCAGGTGCTCCTTGTTCTGTTTCCAGATGAAATGGACAATAGTTTATGAATCAGAGTGGCCCTGAGCCAACAGAAGTGTACACACCAGCCACAGGTGTAGCTCTGTTTAAAATGCTCAAACCCTGCTGACCACCTGTTCAGTAGGGGAAGACGGCAGATTAAATGCAGCTATGAAATTACTGAAAAGAGGAATTCAACCTTTTCTTTTAAGGGCTACATGTGTGCACCTCTGGCTTTTGGTTTAGTTAGGGAATTACATGCAGAGGCACAAAATTATTAATAAAATAAGCCTAGAAGCAAAACAACAAATTATGTAGTGCTATTTAGCAACCTTGCTCGGCAACAAAATTATATGCAATGTTTTTGCAAATGGAAATTGTATCTGTGGAACTCTGTGGCCACCCTTGTCAATAGAGGCTAAAAAGACACTGTTCATACACAGTGAGACAAAAGTATGCAAACGGAAGCAAATAATATTCTACCCTAAACTGAGTTTATACTCAAAGGATGGAGGAGGAGAAACCACAGACTAAAGCTGGGGGGAAATGATCAGGGTGTTTTAAAATGACTAGATGCCATCTCTGCTCTTGCACCATAAAGCAGGTCCTCTGTTAGTTATTTTGTATATGAGAAGTAGCAAGACAGTACTAGAACTCAACCTCTAGGTCTCTCAATGAAATGTTTCAGAACCGGTGATTTAGTGAAACCATTCCAATAAAGTAGAGAATGTGTCACTTTTCCTTTCTGCCTGTGTAGGTAGTACCTCTGAGATTTTGTATTCTCCAATGAAGCATTCCGAATTGCAGCTTCCAGCAACCAAACGATAACTCCACACACAAGACGTACAGCCAAATGGTCCTTCCCCTTAAAATCAACACATAAAGTCAGTTTTAAAAATAATTAAGAGAAAATGATCTGGCTTGTGGTGCTATTTCTCTGGTTGGTAAACTTCAGACTTTGCAGACCAGGAACCTGCTTTGCCCAAATATATATCTGGAGGTGCCTTTCTTAAAGGTGCTGCTGTTGAAATTCACCTTTGGTTAGGCAGTGGCCAAGTAGCAGGTCCCGATCTGTGGTGGACTTCCAGTTGTAAAGTAAGTGGCATTGATTGACATGCCTATTATGAATGTGCTGCAACTAAACAGCTGTGGGACATTTTTTGGTAATTATAGTGCATATTATGAATGTGCTGCAACTAAACAGCTGTGGGACATTTTTTGGTAATTATAGTGCATTTGGTAAAGATTTTCCATATTGCTAAAAATGGTAAAAACTAGAATGCAATTAATAAATGCACAAATGACTATTAAGGATGACCAGCTAACTGGGGATTTCCATTTCATGATCCATCTCATTTTTTCTGTAGAGACAAAATGAAATATGCACTCAAGTCAATAAAATTAATTTCAAAGGAAATTTAATATAGGTGATATATTATTATAGAAAGGACAAATTCTAAATTCTTTAAGAAGATGGACCCAATATCCCCTTCCTAAGTAATCTTCAGGCCCCCCAGTAACGTGTCTGCACTGGACAAGTGTTGGGGGAGGATCAGGGCTCTGGGAGCAGGGTTTTAGAGGTACTTCAGGGACTGACAGGACTCCTACAGAGAGGGGCCAGGTATCAGGGAGGATGGAAGGAAGGAGGAGGCTGAGAACTCCAAGGAAAGGAAGCAGTGGGAAGGAGTTGAGGTGCATGTACACCAATGCTAGGAGCATGGGTAATAAGCAGGAAGAGCTTGAAGCTCTCCTGGGAATAGGAGGGTATGATCTGGTGGGAATCACAGAAACCTGGGGGGATGAAAGGCAAGTCTAGAATGTGAACATAGAAGGGTATCACCTCTTTAGAAAGGACAGGAAGGGAAAGAGAGGTGGGGGTGTGGCTTTATACGTCAGGGAAGGGATAGGATGCAGTGAGATAGAATGCAGCACAGATGGGGATTCGGTAGAGGCGATCTGGGTGAAACTTAGGGGTTTTGACAGGGAAAGAGACCTGACAGTGGGGGTATGTTATTGCCCTCCAGGTCAACTTGAGACCCTGGATGATGTCCTGACAGACCAAATTCTAAGGATATCTCGGGGGAGAGACACAGTAACTATGGGAGATTTCAATCTCCCGGATATTACTTGAGAGACTCACTCGGCAGTGACAGCCAGGTTACATCGCTTCCTAGAAGCTATAGAGGGAGGGTTTTTCACACAGAGGGTCCGAGAGGCGACGAGAGGGGGAAACATCCTTGACTTGGTCTTGACCAATAGGGAGGAGCTGATAGATGAAGTACAGATTAGGGGAGCTCTGGATGCGAGTGATCACTCCATCTTTTGCTTTGAGATCAGGGGACTGGGGACATGCAGCAGGTTGAGCACTAGAAGCTGGGACTTCAAGAGGGCGTTCAATGTGGATAAGTGCAAGGTCTTGCACTTGGGGCATAGGAATAGGTGTCATAAGTACAGGTTAGGTGACAAGTGGCTGGAGAGCAGCACTTGTGAAAGGGACCTCGGGGTACTGGTTGACTGCAGGCTAAACATGAGTCAGCAGTGTGATGCGGTGGTCAAGAGGGCGAACGCCACCCTTGGTTGCATAGCCAGAAGTGTGGCTTCTAGATCAAGAGACGTATTACTACCACTCTACATGACTCTGGTGCGCCCGCAATTGGAGTATTGTGTTCAGTTTTGGGCCACCCATTACAGAAAGAATATAGCCAGGTTGGAGTCAGTGCAGCGTAGGGGCACAAGGTTGGTGGCCGGTTTGCAGGGGATGCCGTATGAGGCGAGACTGAGGGAACTGGGTCTCTTCAGCCTGGAGAAGAGGAGACTCAGAGGGGATATGTTGGCGACATACAGGTATGTGAGGGGATGTCACATGGAGATGGGTAGTGACCTGTTCTCCCCTGCAGAGGAAGGCAGGACGCGCTCCAACGGAGCAAAGCTCAGGGAGCCAAGGTTCCATTTGGATGCCAGGAAGCACTTCCTGACAGTTAGGACCCCGAGGGTGTGGAATGGGCTTCCACGAGAGGTCGTTGAGGCCCCATCGGTGCGGGTGTTCAAAGATAGGCTGGACATGCACATGGTGGGCATGTCGTGAGCGGAGCCGGCTGGTGCCAGAGGTCAGACTAGATGGCCTGGGAGATCCCTTCTGACTCGCTCTGTTTCTATGTTTCTAATCTTTCATATGAATCTGGCTTATACTGAATTAGACCATTCATCTTGTGAAGGAACAGAACTGCCTTTCATTTCTGGGCTTAGTTTGCTTTTTATTACTGGTTTAACCCTTTTTGTTTGTTTGCCTTTGATACATTCTGGTCAGTCCCAGCCAAAAGGTCAATACTTTAGATTGAGATAAAAATGATTGGAAACAAGCTTGTCAGCTCTGCAAGTAAGAAGCCTGCATAAGGTTCATGGCAGTAGAGTGGCTGCAAAGGGAGAGATCACAGGTTGGATCTCACATGGTGATATCAAAAGCACGGGCTACAACTTGATGAGCAGGACTCTGTCCATCCCCATTCCTTCCCTGGACAGCCCATCGCCAGCTTCCCCCCACATCTGCTCTGGGAAGCAACACAACGCTGTACTCATCCCACAGAAGTGGGTGAGTAAACAAGAACCTGCCCTTCTAACTGGATGGAGATGGGAAAGTACTGTGTTAAGATGCAGAAGCCTGAGACAGGCAGAAATTCAGAAAGAAGTGGAGATGTGGGACTGTCTGGGTGTGGCGAGGCAGGAGAATGAGGGCAAAACTGTTCTATCACAGGTTTTCCTTCACCTGGTGGGATGGTATGATTGGATGCCAACCCACTGATTTGTTAATAAGTTTTTTTTTCTTTAGTTTGATTAGTTCAGCCATGTTACAAAGGCCTATGGTGGGTTACCTGCAGTGATTAAGTCGTGTTTGTAAGGAAGTATTATATTGGCTAGGGAGGTGGTGGTGAAGCTACGGCATGCATGCCACAGCGGGTACGCAGAACCCTCACTGTCGGCACGGGAGCCAGGTCGCCCCAGCATCGCCCCAGCAGCTGACCATTGGATAGCAGTGCACACAGGGGCCATGCGCATGCTCGGAAAGGAGTAGTGGCGCCAGGCGATGATGTCACGAGCCGCGACTCATTAGCCACGATTCGTCCGATCTTTCGCATGGCCGGTCAGTGCACTGCCAAGGAAATATATATATTTGTTTGGACTGGCTGTGAGTTGTTTGTTCTAAATTAAAACCTCAATTTTCAGGTTTTATTGTAGTGTTGATACTTTGTGATAAATAAGTGGGTTTCGGGTTGCAGTTTGGGAACTCGGTCTCTGGAGGTTCATTAACACTGGGTTAGGGGAAGAAAAACGAGGTGTCCTGGAATGATTTTGATTGGTGGAAAGTGTTTAGAATGGGCAGAAATGTTGAGCTGTGCAGAAAAGCTAATAAAAATCGCACTCTTTTCAATGAAAGTTTTTCCCTTTATTAGGGTTAGAGTGTGCAAAAGGGTAGGGTTAGGGTTATTAAAACGAGGTATCCAGGCCAGGTTCTGATGATTGGCATGTGCTCAGAATGGGCAGAAATGATGAGTTGTGCAGAAATGATGAGTTGTGCAGAAAAAGCTACTCAAGGAAGGCCCTTTCTGAATCGCATTATTTTCAATGGTATTATACCTGTACATTAGGGTTGGGGGTGTGCACCAGGGTAGGGTTGGGGTTAGAAAAACAAGGTTTCTGGCAGGGTTTTGATTGTTGGAATGGGTTTAGAATGGGCAGAAATGTGGAGCTGTGCAGAAAAAGCTACTCAAGCAAGGCCCTTTCTAAATTGCATTATTTTCAATTGAACTTTACCCCTATATTAGGTTCAGGGGAGTGCACCAGTATAGGGTTAGGGTTTGAAAAATGAGGTGTCCTGGCAGGGTTTTGATGGTTGGAATGAGTTCAGAATGGGCATAAATATTAAGCTGTGCAGAAAAAGCTTCTCAGGGAAGGTGTTTTCAAAATCACCCTCTTTTCAGTGGAACAGTACCCCTATATTAGTGTCAGGGGAGTGCACCAGTGTAGGGTTGGGGTTAGAAAAACAAGGTTTCTGGCATGATTTTGATGGTTGGAATGGGTTTTGAATGGGCAGAAATGTGGAGCTGTGCAGAAAAAGCTACTCAAGGAAGACTTTTTTAAAATCGCACTCTTTTCAATGGAAATTTACCCTCCTATTATGTTTAGCGGTGTACACCAGGGTAGGGTTTGGGTTAGAAAAACGAGGTGTCCTTGCATGGTTTTGATGATTGGAATGTTGCTAGAATGGGCAGAAATGTTGAGTTGTGCAAAAAAAAAAAAAAAGTTAATTCAGGAAGGCTTTTTCAAAATTGCCCTTTCTAATGGCATTTTACCCCTTTATTATGTTAGGGGTGTGCACCAGGGTAGGGTCAGGCCAGTGGTGGTGAACCTATGGTATGCGTGCCACAGCTAGTATGCAGAGCCCTCTTTGTTGGCACGCAAGCCAAGTTGCCGCAGCATCGTCCAGCACCTGAGAATTGCATACGAGTACACATAAGGCCATGTGTATTCTCTGAAAGTTGTAGTGGTGCCAGGCGATAATGTCATGAGCCGTGACTTGTTCACGCTTTCGCATGGCCGGTCAGTGCGCTGCCAAGGATACATATATATATTTGCTTGGACAGGCTGTGAGTTGTTTTTTTTCTAAACTAAACATTTGATTGCTACTTTAACAGCATAACCTTACACATGCTTCAGCAAAATTAAATTCCGCTTACTTAAATTGAACTTTCTCCAATAATGCCTGTACATGCTTGCAGTCTAAGTATGATAATAGTAGTGGTGGAGGAAAATGAAACTTGAGGGTGTTGACAGATGATAGAAAGTTGCTGTGGAAATTATTGCCATGGAATCCTGTAATTATTTGGGGAAGAATTAAACCAAAGTCTAACCCCAGCCAAAGTTCAACACTCCCACAAGGGTCTGAAAGTAGACATTTTCCTAAGCCAATAACTCTTTCCTGTTTTCTGGATTATTTGAACATTAGAGAACATGATTGTTGGGTAACCTTTTCTGCAACAAATAGTAGAAAAACAGATGAAGCGTTACAGTGTTGTGAAAGAAAAAGTTCAGTTATGAGTGGACTTGAAGAATATAGGCTGGGTTGGGGCAGATTCAACTTTTGCAAGCAAGGATACTAGAATACTACAGCTGTATTCACAAAACATTAGTTGGACAAAAAGAGAAACTCTTTGCATAAGCAGAAACGTTTAGTGTCTTCTCTTACCATTGCAAGAATGGCAGGTTGGGTGGCACCTTTCACAGGTGTATTGATCATCGTCTGCATAGTAATATTCCGGGCAAGAGAGCTGACACTCATGTGTGGAGTGCAGCAGGAAGAAATCTGTATCACAGGACAGGCAGTCTGTGGATTCAGGCCCCAGGCACTCCTTACAGCTTTTGTGACATCTCTCACAAGTGCCAGATACATTGTTTGCATAGTACCTGAAACATACAAAAAGGCAAAGATTTGGAAACACATTGTAAGGAAAGGATCATTTCTCTTGGATCATTTTGTATTTTGCCAATCTGTACCACTGAACATTGTTTGTGCCTTTGCAATAGGATATGCAAAATGAATGGAAGGGAAAACTTGTGAGTAGGGCTGGCCCAAGCCGTTTTGCTGCCAGAGTTGTAGGGCAAGATGGTGCACAACTCTATTCCATATACAGAAAAGGACCAGGTTGGCAGCTTTAATACTGGCCAATGGATGGCTGTCCCAAGGCTTCACCATCCTCCATCATCTACTGTCTGAGCTCGGTGCCTCGGTTTGTGTAATGGTGGAGGCCAGCCTAGCTTGTGAAAGAGAAAAGAGGAATGTATGTTTAGTATTATTGCCCAGGCACATCTATCACCTGGCGAAGAAGGTTCAGGAATGCAATTTCCCTTTTTTTGCCAACTAATGCATTTGCAGTTACATTGCAGCCACTAATACATTCATAAGCTAAATGTTTCTCCAAGAGGAGCTGCAATATCTGATAATATGATCTGAATATTATTTTTTCCTTTCTGCTTGGTTGCCAGGTATTACCTATTTCATCTCGAACATTCCAGAGTACACCTGGGGTGTATCTCTTGATTCCAGAAGGTGCTATATTACAGTTTATCAAAACTTCTATCTGGCAGAGCTTTTTACCGTGAAAGGCTAATGTCTTACCCAGTTGAGCAGGTCTGTACACATTCATTTTCTTGCTTATACCAGCTTGGTGGACAGGAGAGGCATTGTGTGCTGTGCTTCCCACTGCATGTTTCACAAGTCCTGTGGCAAGTGTAGCACTGGTCTTTGTCCAGATAATATCCCCTGGGACAGTCTCTGACACAGGTGGCATCTGTGGAGAGAACAGCACCAGAGAAGGTACATGCAGTTTTCTTTTCCCCCATCGGATGCTGGAAAAAAGTCCCATTTAATTAACTTCCAACTGTTTTCCATTTTCATTTGTGATTAACAATTTTGGATTAAGTACCAAATTTTGGATTAAGTATCTGTCAGTGGGTAATAGGGGTCATTTGGTTGATTTCCCAGGTGCTATTACATGAGCGATGGTAACTAGATGGTAACTAGATAGGACCAGGAACAGTAATAATGGAGATAACTTTGCTGCCAGTTCTCTGGACAAAACTCTGGTAGTAAGTCTCCTTAAGTAGAAAGTTTGAGACTCATACTCTGATCCAGAGAGCCTACATGGGCTTCCACAGCTTCCTCGTTTGGTACAACTTGTTCCAGCTTGCATTTCAGTGATTTGACAAAATGACACCCTCACAGAAGAGCGACACTGGACCGGGCTGGGTACCTATTTATTTATTTATTATTTATTTATTAAAACATTTTTATGCCGCCCCATTCGCCGAAGCCTCAGGGCAGCTTACAACAATAAATTAAAAATAATTATAATATGAGATTACAATAAATATAAACATTAAAATTAAAAATACAAAAATACAATATAAAATAAGCCGCCCTGGCCAGATAAAATCCAGTAATACTAACAGTTAAAATACCGCTTAAATAAAAAGGTCTTTGCCTGGCGCCGAAAAACAAATAACGACGGTGCCAGGCGGACGTCTCTGGGGAGCGCATTCCATAACTTAGGCGCCACCGCAGAGAAAGCCCTCCTCCGAGTACCCACCCTCCTAATTTCTTTCACGGAGGGTTCCCGGAGAAGGGCCTCTCCCGCTGATCTCAGGGGGTGGCCGGGCATATATGGATGTAAGCGCTCCTTCAGGTAACCAGGACCCAAGCCTACATACATTAAACTAAGAAGAAAGAAGCCTGAAGACAGAAACACTTACTGAGAAGATGCCAGTTTGCATGGCAGCTGAGACATTGATCTTCAGCAGGGCCCCTGCATTCCAAACACTTCCAGTGGCAAGCCATGCATCTTTTGGTTTGTCCATCATAATACTGTGTCTGGGAGCAGGACTCGGGCATCACACAGTGGCCAGAATCAGAAATCAGCAGGCCTTCTCCACAGGAAAGGCAGGAAGTAGAAGATGAACAAGTTTGGCATGTCCTGGAACAGTCTGAAATGTGACCAACAAACATTTGAGCAATTAATTTCCTCTGCCCCACGGGCTCTTTTTAGCCTTAGCTTATTGAAAAACTGAACAACTGGTCAAGGGTTAGAAAAATTATGGACAATCAGTTTCATCTGCATTCTCCCTAACCAAGAGATTTCTGTTATGTGATAGCTTAATTGCTAATCTTATAATTATGAAAGACATTTGTTAATGACCTGAACTCTGAGTTTGGCTTGCTGAAGAATTCTGTAGAATTCAAAAACATGCATAGTATTTTCTAAATAGAAGCAGATCTGATCAATTATATAATTTTAAAGATTTTAAAGATTTCACTCTTTGGTTATAACTTGTTAAAAATATTCTGTAGCAGGACTACACTTTACATTTGTCTGAATCCTGAATAAAATAACTCCCTAAAACCCTATACTCATCTTATGAAAAAGTGCAGGTTTCTTGCCAAGAATGAAGCATACTATTTTCACACAAGAAGAATGGAAAGAAATCTCCAAATATGAATCTCCATTCACAAAAACTGCTGCACCCATCTTTCCAAAATTTTGCAGGTTTTTTAGGGATAAGCAAGTGTTGTAAGCCATTTTCATACAGATTAGCAACAAAGAATATAGAGAAAATAAGTGATCTCCTTTTTTAAAACCCTGCACTATAAGGTGCTTTTGTTCAAAATTCATTTGAAACTTGATAGGTCTGCAAATTTCACCCAATTCTGCCCAAAATAAAAAAACGTTATTGGCAGTTCACTTAAAAAAAATCAAAATTTAAAGGCACCTAGCACAAGACGATCTGATGTGGTTTTTTTTTCAGAATTAAAAGTAGATACATAGTTTATCACACATTCACACATAAGGAGATTTTGAGATAATAGAAGTATAAGACATATTAATATTTATTTTAAGAATGTATTTATCACCATTATATCTTGCTCTCTCTCCTTCTTTCTACACACACACACACACACACACACACACACACACACACACACAGATATTCAGGAAAGATCAGCAATAAACTAATACAATATAGAGTAATATACTGAATCAAACAACAGTGAAATAAAAGAAAATGGCAGATAAAGGCAGCACAAAACAGTAGAGATAAGGCTGAGAGGTAAAAGACCTAGGAAAATAAAAAGGTCTTCACCTGGCACTGAAAAGAGAGGACAGTAGACAGCAGGAAAACTTATCTAGGGAGAACATTCTAGAAGCAGAGAACCATCTCTAAGATGGTGATGGCCTCTAGAATGGCTGGTTCATAAAGGAATGAAATGTTGTGGTTTAGGAAACATCTTTCTCTGTGGATGATTAATCTTTCTGCATAGCTGTCTCTGGAACAACTCAGGAATGCTCCATTCCCTCTGACCCTAAATAGATGGATTAAAGTAAGACAAGGCCAAAGCAGTGAGTAAAGTGGCCATTTGTGTATCAGCCAGAAAAAAAAGAAGACACCGATTTGAAAAAATGCACATGTGCGGAAGCAAATTTGGAGGTAATACTATAAGGTAAACAGAACTAAAATGCATCACACCATCATGCAGAACGCAGTAGGTAACTGGCAGACCTACTTAGTCTGCTGTCCAAGAGCAGCTTCAAAGGCCCCTCCCTGTGTCCCATTCATAAGGTTATTTATCTTTGAACCAGATTAGATCAGGACTGTCCTTCAAACACAGAACTGTCCTGTGTAAAGGATGTCACATGTCCACCCTATCAGTCAATCAATCAGAATGATACACATGTCTGATGTGCCCAAGGTGTGGCTCATTAGTGTGTTCTGGCAGTGAATTACTGATCCCACGAACCTTTGGGCGATGCATATTTTTCATATACTGAAAAATAAATAAATACCTGTACATGCTTTCTTTGCATCTTCATAAGTGCCATCTGGGCATTCTTCAAGGCATTTGCCATTGTACAGAACGTAGGAATCCTCAGCACACTCTGTGCAGTCATCAGATTCCCGCCCGTCACATTTTCCGCAGGTTTCATGGCAGCGAAAACAGTGGCTGGTGTCAGCGAAGAAGCCAGAGGGACAAGTATGGAGACACTGTCCGTTGTGCAGGTAGAACGGTGGCAGACACACTTTCAAGAAATAATAAAAATTCTTTTAATAACACACATTTAATAAAGTTTGAAAGAAAGAAAGAGAGCGAGTTAGAGAGAGAGAGAGAGAGAGAGAGCAGTCTGTATCAGGATATACAAAAGAGCATGGTGCTTTCTCTCACATACTGTGACACTCTCCCCTTTATTATCATATTATCTGGAAGTCTCCTTGTGAAACTTTAATGGAAATAATTACTGCAGGTCTCGGCAAGAGCTCTGCTCTTCCTGCTGCTTGCTGCTCTGTCTTGGCAAAGTGCACTGTGCCGGAGGATCACACCGTAAGGATGAGTCCTCTGTTCCGCTGCTTCTTATGGGTGATGGCGCAGCCTGCCACCACAGAGGAAATGGGCACAGTAATAGAGCTCTCTCCTTCCTGGTATCCTGGGCTCCTGAGGAGTTGGGCCACAGGCACCCATCTCGCATCTTGGTGACTAAGCTGGTAGCACAGAACAGGAAATGTGGAGCAGCAGAGAGAGTAGAGCTGATCCAGCACAGGGACCCTTTCCAGATGACGCATCTCGGTTGAATAAGTGCATGTGGGGATGAGCAATGAGGGGCAACAGTGAGATTGTGGGAGCCATCCTGGCCCATCAAAGGAATGAACAGTAGACCTAGTCAACTATGTGCACAAAAACTATGGCCCGGCTTCCTATTTTCCTTCCGTTAAAAGAACACCATCACTTGCTTCGATGCAATTTTTTCTCAGGAATATACACAGAATGGTGCCATGCCAGAATGTGCTTTCTCAGCAGCCCTGTGAGCTCCCTGCTAATTCATTCTTGGGGTTACAAGACTGTCTACTTACACAGTCTATTAAGTCTTTAGGGTATACTGATATTCAGACTGCAGTCCAAGTCCTTGAATAAGATACCACTAAGCTGTTTTAACATGGTATTTTCATGGCCTAATTACTGAAAAAGCGCTGGTTAGAAATGACTTCCTGATAAGTATTTAGAACAATAGATTTTGATCATTAGATTCTGACTGGATGAAGCCCATTGACTGATGTGAACCAAAACTTATCTTAAATTTAACACAACAGTTTATGGGGAGCCCCTTCGTTTTACATGATTTCCTCATCTCGGTCTCAGTCAAATATGCAACAATATTATTCTGCGTATAAACTGATCTCAGCTGAAGCAGAATACAGTTTCTATCGCTTTTATGGGCCGCCCCCACAGTGGCGTTCAGTGACTGCCACTGCCGATTCCCCACAGCACCTTTGCAGGAGCTTCCATGAATGCATTCCTTGCACATCTTGGGGCAATGGTGACACACTCCGCCAGCAGCAAAGTGCTGCTCTGAGCACACGGCTTTGCACTCCCACCGCTCCACGAGCAAGGGACCTTCACAGGACAGGCACCTGGTGGAATTTCCTTCACAGGTTTTGCAGGGCTTGCTGCAGCTCTTACAAATCCCTCCTTCGGCAAAGAAGCCCCTAGAGAGTAAAAACACAACAAAAATAAAATACCAGGAGGAGAACATGCTATAATTCTCTGGGAATAAATAGTGCTTTTGGATGAGCTGAGGTCTTTAAGAAAGCAGGCACTGTAAGCATGTACTGTGCCTGTCTTTGGCCTCTCCTTACTGCTAAAATGCTACGTATGAATCTGCCTCCCTCCGGTGGCACAAGAGCCACTGTGCAGGTGGAGGCACCCAGGCTTGGGGTTTGCTCTTCCACATTCCCTATTGTCTGCCACTGCTGCCAGGCAAGAAAAGCCTGTAATGGGAGAGGACGGACACATTTCCAGGAGTCCAGAGGGATGAAAGCAAAGGAGAGAGCGAGCATGGGGAAGAGAGAGATTCCCACTCCCTAAACAAGCTGCCAAAAGAGCAGAAATGACCAAAGGGAATAAAACAAAGAATAGCTCCTGCTCCAATAAGAATATACACTAACTTTGATCACTGTGCAAGAAAAGGCAACAAACCATTTTTTTTAAGGTACCTGGAATGCATGGCAAAAAAAAGCCCTATTTAAAGCCACTACTGGCTTGGAAAGTCCCATTTAAGATTCTCTGTCTCTGTGTGTGTGCATACACACATGCATGTGTGTGCATGCGTGCGTAAAGGACCCTGTTTCCTAAGGAATTCTTATTTGTAAAAAGAGATTTATGGACAGGGAAGAGGAGGGCACTTGATTTCAGAAAGTTCCAAATGGGGATATGGGCGACAGGAGGTGAAGCACAGTTGGCAAAAAAAGCCAGCTAATCCAGGAGATCAGAAGCAACAAAGATAGTCTAGGCCACTGTACCTTTATTTCAGCAAGTGTCCCAGATAGGAGGGTGGCAGGGGATGTGGTCTGTTAGAGATTCTGGGCCCCAAATGAAAGATTTAGGGTTATAGACCTAGCAGACCATCTTCTAACATTGCCTCAGCTAGTGTGTGTTCCCAAGCTTAATTAATACACTTGTTACTTTCTTTCAACCTTTTCTCAAAGTAGTGGCATGCCTATATTCCTGGATTTCATAATTATTTTCTACATGTGGTGGTGAGCACCTGTGATCTTAATCTCGGGTCCATGTACAGGTTACTGTTAGGATCTTCAGCACCAGAACTGCATCTGAGAACTTCAGCTATTCAAAAATATGCTACTGAGACTTTGTGTCCATAAAAACCTTCATCCACAGTGCCTTGAATTTCTTAAAGGAAGGACAGGAGATAAATGTGAACAAGTGTAACAAGAGACAGTGTTGTGTGCTGGTGAAAATGGTAAAATGTGAGCCAAGATGGAAAAGGAGCAACTGTTTCATGTATGAACTCTGAGAAGATACTTGTGATGCCAAAACATGGCTTTGTACAAAAGCAGTGTTGAGTCTTATCAGGTTTTTTTTGGTGGAATTTTAAAGAAGAAAATCAGAAGGCAACAGTTCAAGGTTTCAGGAAAAGGGAAGCAAAAGGAAGAGAAGACAAAGCAATGCTATTTCCCTATCCAGTTCTTATTAAGTGCTGATTAAAAATGAATATGATTTTTAAAAATCCAGGCTATAGTCTTACATCTAAGAAAATGCTGAAAGAGCAGATCATGGACATCAGAAGCAGAAATAAGGCTATGGACATGGATAAAAATAACTGTGTGAGTTATGCAATGTGCCTTCTTGAAATAGAGTTGGGATTCCACAGGCATTTTTAAATCTTAATTTTCCAACTCTTTTCCTGTTATTCTGCTTTCTGTTTCCGGCTTTCCTGTTATCCAACTGCTCCTGTTATTGCTGGCCTGGGAAGGCCCACTCAGGCAGACCTTACTGGCTCCATCTCACTCAGGTGCAAGAGACAGAAACCTTCCTTTGGCAATCAGCTGCAGCTTTCTGCCTAAGCAATAGGCCAAGTCAGCAGATGCTGCCATTGCAATACAGACGGCCTGGCTCAGGTCACTAGCCTATGGAACTGGGTACCTAACAATGAAGAACCTTCTAGAGCCTACCTCAAGAATTGGAGATGAACCATTAATTGCCCATCAGTTAAGAGACAGAAACCCAGCAGATTCTCTTGGAATCTCCACTCAGGTGGTGGTTGGGAATGGACCATAGGGGAGACGCTCCACTGGAAAAGGAAGTTGGGGGTATTTTTCTTCTAGCACAAGATGGAACTGCACCAAAGATTCTCTGGCACAAGTACATAATTTTTCCACAGACAAAAGGAGGTAGACCTTGCACAGGTACCAGGAGAACTGCAGCATGGACGTAGTGTGTCTTCAAGGGACAGGTAGGCATCTTGGATGCTGCTCTGCTAGTCAGGCTGTATTTCTCTCTTTTGCGTTGCCTTTTTGCCACTAACTTGCCACTCTGACTGTTTCTAGTGGGCTCAGAATGTGACCAATCCTTTCCCCTTTCTGTACTTTTTCTTGAATCTTTAATCAATCCTTTAGCCTACTCTCACCACCAAAACCCAGGCAATGTATTTTTGGAGAGAAAGGGGGAAGGCACACAGGTGCACAGCACATTTTGGGTCACACCACACTGTTTAAGTACACACTACCCAGGCTGCATGCAACATGCCCAGCAAAACCTGTAACTTGCTGTGCTCCCTTCTGGACACAAGAGGGCTGCAAAGAAGCTCAGCACAGGAGACCCTGCCGGGATCTTTGGTCACTTGTTGCTTAAGAGAGCATCTGTTCCTCTTGGAGTTGTGTGTACATGCCAGATTGCCACACCTCCTTTTGCAGTTCCCACACTTCTTACAGCAATCAGATGGGTTACTGTGGCCTCTGCTATCCCTTTCCTTGACTGACTTCAGCTCTACCTGCTCAATGCAAACTAAGTCATATAGTTCATTGTATTATATTTTTCTATGTCTGCGCTAGCTGGGGATGATAGAAGTTGACATCTGACACATCTGGCAGCTGCCTTGTTGGGGGAAGGCTGACACTGAAGATTTAACACATGATCAGAAATTGGTGATTTTAATCATTACACTTTTCGTAAAAGAAAACATATATTGCATGAAAAGGATCCTATGTATGGTTCTCTATACCTAGTAGGGTTTACTCAATGTTGGACTGCAAAGAACAATTTCTAATGCTCACAGTACGTTTCCAGGGGAAATCTGCCCAATGATTTTAAAAAGTGTTGAGGAAAAGTTGCAGAAGAGAATATTTTTCTAAGCAAACTGAGAATGGGTCTGAAAAATCCAGGTTATTATGCTGCTACCTCCAACAAGAAGGCCACGATCCACTATGCACTGAACATACAGAGGAGGGAATGGCACCAAACTCTCTGAGGGCCATCTGGATGTTTACACAAATCAGTATACAAAGGTACATACGTGGGACACTCCTGCAAACATTTGCCTTTGTGGAGGTAGCGTGGTGGATCTAAATCGGGCTGGCATTTCAGACAGTGGCCAGCTCTCGTGCAGTCTTCACAGTCATCCATGCAGTTCTCACAACGCTCTGTCCTTGTATTGCCAAAACTTCCGTGTGGGCAAACATGCACACAAGAGTCACCAAAAAGAAACATCCCTGGAAACAATGGAACAGAGAAGATCTCTTTGAAAGGATGGGAATAGCACACTATGCTGAGCATGTGCTTGCATGTACGAGTCTGTTTAGTCTGGCTGCTACCTCACTTTCTGCTAAATGTCCATTTTAGCAGAATGGACTATTTTCTTGCTGTATGTGCATATGTGCTATTTGTTATTCTTATTTTCTTATTTAGGCCAGATACTGAAGATGAAACTCAAATACTTTGGCCACCTGATGAGAAGGAACAACTCCCTGGAGAAGACCCTGATGCTGGGAACAACTAATGGCGAAAGAAGAAGGGGAAGGCAGAGGATGAGGTGGCTGGATGGAGTCACAGGGCAGTGGGTGTGGGCTTGGCTGGACTCCAGGGGATGGTGGAGGACAGGAGAGCCTGGAGGAATGTTGCGCACGACTTTGTGACTAACAACAACAACAATTTTCTTAATTCTTATTCTTATTTTCTGTAGCATTTTTCCTTGCACAGCACTCTGCATGGAGGTATTACTCTGGCAAAACTTTCTGCAGTGTGTTAGCCTGGAGGAAAGCCATACGCTCACAAGTCACACTCATTGCCTTCATAGTTGAGCAAGGAGGGCAACCAGCATCTCCATTCACTGACACTATTACCACCAAAAGATTTAATTTGTATGCTGCTTACACAATTTCTACATAAGAGTGTTAATCCAGTGAATCTACTTTTGGTAGACAAAAGACATTTCATTTCATGAATATTAAAATATCTCATTTTGGAATGAGAGGCTCACCTGGGACCTACTTTATACTCTTTCCACCACCAGGGGGACATTTGTTTTATTTTTGCAATTACTTTAGTCTTTCATTATCTGTTGTTTTATATCTGTTACTACATTTTAAATTTTTGCATTGCTACCAAGTTTGTTTGCTTGTTAATTTTATTTTACACTGTAGTTATAGACAAGCAAACATTTACATTGCATTTTATGTTGTTATTTTATGGGTTTAATTGTTGTCAAGTGCCAGAGAGCTTCAGCTATTGGTCTCTAAAGAAATGTAAGCAATGCATTTTAAATATATTTCAAAATAGGCAATATCAACAGTTGAGACACAGTACCAATTAATATTATGCAGTAATGCAGAAGCCAAAGGCAAATACATCAAAACTTCCCAGTGCATGGCAGCCTTAGCAAACATCCAACTCATAACTACTTCCTGCAGAAATGTCCCATGCAAAAAAATGTTTCTTAAAACTTGCAGCTATAGATTCCCTCCCATACTTCATTTTCTTATGCTGGTACAAGATCTTTACTTGTGTCTGCCGTGCTCAGCAGGTTCCCCCTTTCTACTCACCCCTTGGGAAGCCTTTGGACTGGGCAGCCAAATTTTTGAGAACTGCAGATCGTGCTACAAAGTCTGGCGTGGTTTAAATGGGAATGCTGTGAGAAACACTACCTTGGGATCCCACAGCAGGCCCTGGTCCTTCCTTTGTACGTGTTACGGGGCAGTCCTCTAGCTTCAAAGGCTTCCTTTTTGACCATTGCAATACACCTACTGGTGTTAAGCATTCACCTATTTGCATTAAGCAGAATTTCCTGCCTCAAACATCACAGAGAATTGGGCTGTGCTGGCTTGGCGCATCTCCCTCAAAACTTTGTAATGGAAACTGGGAATGTGCCTCTTGTATCTGCTGCCTTAAGAGACCATTTCCTATTTTTCATGGTATGGGCCATAGAGCAAATTAAATCATCTTTTAAAAATAAAACTTCTTTCAGCTGACACAGTAGTCCAGTTTGTTAAGAGTCCTATGCTGTCTTGAGCTTATTTACTGATTAATCCAGACTTAGCATCTTCCATACAACTCTCTGGTCTGTGTTTGTAAGATCCTTGGGAGGTGTGCCTGGGCACCAGTGTGGAAACATGGACAACCTGATGTTTTCTACACAACCCTTCAGGACTGTAGTCCCGCTGCTGTTTTATTTCTAGCAGCTGTGCATGTCAAACCTCCAAATCCTTCTTATGTTTCCCCAAAGGCGCATTCAGACTATGTGCATATAATTTGCTTTCTCACGACTCAATTATTTAGCTCTAAGTAACTTGTAGCTGTATGTATGAATGCTCTATTTGGAGAATTATTCTGCCTGTGGCAATAAGTCAGGCAGTTGTTGGTCTGGTGCTTTCCAGATATTTTGGATTACAGTTTCAATTACCCCCTCTCCCCAGCGTAATCAGCAACCAGAAATTATGGGAGTTGCTGTCCAGAAATCTGGAGAACTTCAAATTGTTTGTCTCTGCACTAAGCAGTATGGAAACTCTTTCAAACTGAGAGCCGCTGAAAGATTGCTCATCTTCAGTATGAACAGGGCTTGGTTTAGAAACACACCTTCAGAAATGATGTCACAAGGGAAAAAAGGATAAAATCACACTTTTTTCACATAATGCGATTGCTTTAAAAGCTTGCATGACCGCTTGGAAATTCTATTTATCCAGATATTAATGGATAAATAGAAGCTCATAATTCTTCAATAAAAGGAGAATTGAAAATTACAGTGTTTTTCTGTAAGAATAAATAAACAAAAAGCCAAGATATTTTCATGGATCTTTAACTGCATTCTGTTATAAGCATAGCAAATGTTCCCTAAATCTCTAAACACTGCAAACTTTCAAGTGCAAGTTGAAATATGTATTAACCAAAGTTTCTGCAAGGAATATGCTCTATCCCAAAAGCTCTTGATAACAACAGGTAAAACACTGGAGAAGAGAAATGTTACTACCTTGGGGACAAGAAGTACAGATATCAGCAGCTTTCTCACAGGTTTTGCATGAAGGATCACACTGCTGAAACTGAGTAGCTGTTGCTGTATTAAGAGAGCAATAAGACTGAGTTAGTAATGTATGCTGCATGTCTGCATGTGGAACACATGAATCCAGATCTTAAGGTGCATTAGAGCATCGCTTTTGGCAAACTGCAGCAGGGCCACTCTGCTCCTGCTCATTCACCGTGGCAGCGAGAGCCACTGCTGGTGCAACAGGGACTCAGCACTTGGTAACGTTTTTTCTGAACGGAGAGAGATCAGTGAAGCTCTGAGAAGGCAGCTTCCTCTCTGTGAGCGCTTGCTCAGTCTGGTTGCTTAGAGAAGCATGAGCTCCCTGTGGGTTCCACTGGCGTGTGGGGCAGGCTTCTGCTGCCCCTGCCCTTGAGGGAGGTCAGCCTCTGAATTCAGCGGCTTACTTGCATCCTGTGGCCTGAAGGAGCCATTCTGGTGGAAATTCCACTGCTGCTATGCCTTGCACCCTGGTTTTTTTTAAATCTAGACAGCCATTTTTAGCCATCTAGAGAAGGCACTAGGGAAGGGGAGGAATCACTGTAAAAGCTCAGTTCCTCCCCTCCCCGCCTGCACCAGCACCGCCCCCTTTTCTCCCCTCCCAAGTCCATTTGCAATTTCCACAGAAAAACCAGTGTGCTGCTTCCCATGCCAGGTGTGAACATGGCCAGGCCAGGCCAGGCCAGGCCAGCGGAGATTGCAAGATCTTGGAATAAGCCTTTGGTCCTTCCAGAGAATGTCAGGAGGCCATATAATTGCACCTTTTGTTAATCAAGGGATAGAAGTGCTGGTGATGTGTGGTAATGGGACCCTCCTGAACTGGGTGATTTTGCAGATCATAAAAATATGGCTCGAGTAAAGGACAGCAGAGTCCGCTAACCAAGCCATTATCTCTGCAAGATGACATCTGCTCTGTGCCAATAATAGGTTGTTTACATTGTTATACACAAGTGGCTGATGTAAAAATGCGCACCCAAAATGTTGCAATTCCTTTGTAAAAGCTTTTAATTACATATTTTACTGTTTGGATAGGTCTAGAAAACAAGAGATCTCCGTCTCCCACAAAACTGCCAACACTTACTATTAAAAAATATTCTACATGATCTCAAACACTTAGTATTAGTTTGCACAGTGGATTAGGTTATTGAGCAGCAACTGATCTTTCCCTCTTTTCTCAAATAAAAATGTTAATACTGAATTTTGCTTTAATGCTGTGAAAGGCTTGCCATGCGCTCTGTTTCAGCAGCAAGGTTGTTAGGCCTGCCATATTCAGAGTCTCCACTAGAGGGTAATATGTACTAGGAATTGTGGTGTTCTGTGGAATATGGCACATCCAACCATTCACCCATCCAACTCTCCTCCAGTAAATCATTAGTGCCTATTTTCAGAACATGTCTTATGCCGCATGCCAACATAACATAGATGGAGTAGATCTTTGTCTCAGGGAAGATTCGAAAGCTTCCAGGTTTTCCTAGACTGTGCGCTTTTTCAATGGGAAACAGATGCACATTTTGATACGGAGGGAAACCCTTTTGACAGGAGATGATATACTTTGAAGTTTGTTTGGTTGGGGGTTCAGTAGGCTGACAGACTATTGGACGTGTCCTGGCTTGTTCTTTCCCTCCCTCTCCCTGGTTCCTTCTCTGCATGTTTCAAGTATCAAAGGGCACATCAAAATGTACTTGGAAATATCCAAGCCGAGAATGCACATCAGCTAATTTGCACGCAGCTGCAAAGATCCAGGAGAGAAGTGACTGTAATAGAAATGGACCCAATACTGTAAGAAGTACAAGCACTCGGTGCTGGAGGGAAGCCAAAGGAGACAATAGTATGAGACAAAATGTCGTCCACTTTCTGGTGATGAGGTCCTCTTGGCCTGACACGTTGAGTTCTCGGCTTCCCTTACTTTTTCAACACATCCCTAACTCACTAGGTACTCCAGAAAGGGAAGATATCGACTCCCCTCTTTTTGTCGCTTCTTTTCAAAGCGGATGCGGCTTTGGTTGTGCAAGACTAACAAAATAATAGTGATAGTAATACATTGCAACCCCAATCATGCATTTTTGAAGCACCAGAAATAAAATGTAAAAAGCTAGGGAATAAGTGGTGGTTCTTCCAAACTGCCATTTTGGATTGGTGGAAGGGCAATCACAGGCGAGATTATTAAACATGAGTGGCATGGTGGTTTTCGCCGCTCTTGACAAGAGCTCGTAGTCAGTTGCAGCAACCCATGAAAACACTCATCCCCTCAGTTCAGATAACATTGCAATAAATCATGGACAAGCACAAGATATGGGCTTCCAAAACACAAGTCACCTAGTGGAAAACATCTTGAGCTTGGATGACACAACATACCACCATGGCTGGTTGCATACAGAGGGTTGTCATGTTTTGCAAACTTAGTCAGGGTTATTTTGTATTGTATCCACTTGGTATTGCTGAATACAGTACTTAAAGTGTAAGTAGCGGTGCTCACAGAACAACCCCATCTGTACCTTCCTGGGGATTTGGAATTAGTTAACGGAAGATCATTCAACCTTGATGATGTGCAACCGCCAGGGCGTGTGATGGACCATCCGCAAATTCATATTTGGCTCATCTGCACATTTGATCCTGATGAACTTGCTGAGCAGGAGATACACCACAACGGTGTATCTGAGTAAGAGTGCCAATGACATTATACCTGTCAAAGGTAGGCACACTGACATTGTGTTGATGGAAACCCACTTTTCCTAGCTACGTTACTGATATACACCATAGGATCAAGCTATCATCATTTACATCTGCATGAATCATGTCTCTGCTAAGTGCAGTTCTTATTTTTTTAGTCCTTGGAAGCACTTTCTTATGCTTCACAGGCCAGACAAGTTAAGCATTCTCTTTTTAAAATGCATAATACCAGAGTTTTCAAGCGGTTCTTCATTCATATTAGATAGCATGTTGCTTGTATGCCTTAATTGGAAAGAAACAGAATGCTTTCAAACAAATGCATACTCCTATGATGATCTCTGAAAAATAACACTATTTTCTCTCTTCAGAAGCAAATCTGTTGATAAAGTGGGGAGTGGGAGTGGGCAGGTACCACTGGGCAACACTGCAGCAGTCTTCACAACACTTCAGAACCTACTGGTTCCTAACCTATTGGTTCCTAAATTAAGTAGCATGGATGTGATCTGAATGTGCTACATTTAGATCCGGACACAGAGCTGTTTATTTCTTAGGTTCTATTCTGCTTATGGCTGTGCAAAAATGGAGACAGCCATGAATGCAAATGCACAGAATAGAACACATCTGTCTAAGACATAATTATAATGATAAAGTATAATGGAAGCAACACATTCATATAATAAAATCCTAGAACTGCTCCAGACTCTGAACTTCCAAGAATTATAAACTTGAGGGCACTAAAGACTAGTTGACAAGTAAGTCATACCCCCTATTTTTCAGTCTAGTCACTGACAGCTACAACATTAATTTAACAAATGAATGTATAAAATATATGCACGCAACTCCGCAGAGCGTGAAGCAGAATATATATTCAAGCACATATTTTACTAGACTGCATCAGCTCTAGCCCTTTTTAAAGTAGGGATATTGTTTTAAAAAGTGAACCACCATTTCCCCTTGATGCCACATCCTTTTCTGTAGAGTGTTTCACTTTCTACATAGATTGCAAAATAAAAAAGAAATGAGGTGTGATAATTTACACTAACTTCAGATCATTTGGTTGCAAAGATCATGGATGTGCAGTCATCAGACTCAAGCAGGGATGGGCAAAGATTCACATTTCTAATCCAGATTGATCTGGATGACCCACTAACAATTTGGTTTGGGGTCAGATCAGAATTCAACAGACCCTAAGATATACTCCATGTTCCATCTTGATGTCTGTAACTGTTCCCAGTCTTGTTAAAATTGTTGTATATTTCCAGAGATCTGAAGTGTGGTACTATATAAACTATCAGTCCAATATCATGCTGACAGGTTCAGGACATGCATAGTTAGGGAAGGCTGTTTGGGAAAAAGGGAGGGCTTGTGCCGATCCTACTGTCTGGCCCATCCACACTGGGAGTCATGTGGAAGGTGGAGCCCTAGAGTTATTGCAAGGAAAGGATTTCTGGGAGAAGTCCTTAGTTCAAGGGTTTGAGACTTGCTTCTCCTTGTAGCTGCAAAGTGCCAATAAACATCTGCTTTGCAGAAGGACTGTCTGCTGTCTGGAGTCTACGTACAAGAAGCTTGTGACAGCTTTGATGGTCCGGTGGACTGCACTGGAAAATGGCTGCTTCCTGGGTTGCTAAGGCCAGAGGATGGTGCCTGTCCCAAGGCCTCTCTCTGTCTGTCACTCTCTGTGCATTATTGTGCATGCATGAGAAGTGCTGACTTTATTTAAAAAAAAAACCCTGCTGTGAAAGAGAATACATAGTGAAAAGATATCTGTCAAAGGCAGTTCTAAAACAGAACTTTTCAAAAGCACTTCAAGCTGAAGTTATTCAAGCTTCATTTCTGCCATGCAGAAAATATTAAAATTTGACATGTCAGAAAACATTTGAATATTCCTTGAAATTATCTTCCCATAGAAGATCACAGAAGCAGCTTAAACATCTAAACATAGTCTGCTGAATTTATTTTCTCTTTGTCTGTCTTCCAAAAATATTGTCATCTCAGTGGCTTGACTGAAGGACATAAAAAAAGACCGGCAATGCAGCATGTTAATAAAGTGCAGTAATACTGGCCTTTCTGTTTGCTAAACATCTTTTCTAGCTGAACTGCCGTGTGTTAACATACAGTGAAACAAGCTTGTCATTATTAGGTCTCCTGGCTCCTCAAATAATTTCATCATCTGGTACACAAGATAAAATACAGATGTTCTGAACTACACTTTTTGGCCCAGACATTTTTTTCCTTGGCTTATGCTTTAAGAGAGAGAGAGAGAGAGAGAGAGAGAGAAGTGTTTGAATATCAGACAAATTCAGATTAATTACTTCATACTCCGTCACAGTTTATTCACATTTATCCTAGTTGGGGCTGTATTGCTTACACTCCCCCCATTCTTCCCAGTGATCCTGCAAAACTGGCATCCTCTTAAATTGCAGCATAGCATGCACACTGATCAAGATATTAGCCTGAAAGCAGAATCCTATGGCCTCCAGATGGCACTGGAGGGGTCAAAGGATGCCAAGGATTTCCCTCTCAGAAGACACAGACAGTGCTATGATCTTGGAGAGGGATAGTCACAGGGGAGACAGATGATGGGGTAGTGATGAGGCTCAGTTGGGGGAGACCTACCAGGGCAGAGCAGTGCCTTAAGCATTTAGAGGAGTTATTTGGCTGAAGAAAGCCAACAAGTCTCATATATCACATTGCTGTTTACTTAAAGACTGAGTTGCATGACTAAACAAGCAACCAACAGTTAAAAACATGGCTGAGTGTCACATCTGAACCCATCCGTGGTGCTAAATCATTGCGACATACCATGGTTGTCATGTTGGTTCCTCCCTACCATGGCCGCCTGATGTGGCATCCCAAGTCAGACAACACAACCCACTGTGGCAGAAACCCCAGAACAAGAGAGCTGTTTGGAGAAAACTGATTGGCATCTCTCGCAGCACTTTTTCCTTGCAGCAAGTCTCTTGGGGGACTACATTGTGAGGTGGCATGCATTCTGCATGGTTACCCCGAAAATAAGGAATCCCAGCAGAATCTTGCTCCCCTCCATCAAAACAACCACCTGAGCACTTGACTCCAAGCAGGAGCCAGAAGCAATACCACGGTCTTGACAAGGATGCCCCGTTCTTGGAGCACCCCCTCCCAGACCCTGCCTGAGAAGCTTACTCCCAGTGGGGCTGCCTTGAACATGGAGCGGCAGCATGGAGTAGCTGAAGCCTTGTGCTCCAGAGGCCTCTGCAGCAGGAGGCGGGCTGCCTGATCACTGCAGGGAGGGAATCTCTCGGCACAGTGGAGACTCTCTACTGCTGCCGCAGGCTGCAATCGGGTGGCAATATGGATGCCGAGGAGAGGAGCTTCAGTTCTTCCCGTGGTGCCCCTGGGACACCACTTGCAGGAATGAGAAGGAAGAAAGTGTGTGTGTGGAGGGGGAGAAACTGCAACGACCCGGCTCACCTGTTGGGCTCATTAGGGCTGCCGGGCGCTTCAGGACAACCCACTGTGGTAACTTGCCGTGATGGGTCATAGTGATGTGCAAACTCACCCCAAAATGCAAACAAGTCTCTTTCATCTATCATCACATGAAAAGTAGACTTCTATTTAAAATTTGGGAAAGTGTTATCACTCTCTCAAACTGCATGAAATGGCCAGGTCACTAATATTTCTGAACTTCCTCTAGTCGAAAATGAGTTAACAATTACTACCAAGGAACCATATCAGGGCATGTCCATTCGTTACAGATGATTGTCTCGCACTCTAATGTAATTTATGAACTCTGAACTCTACTAAGCTCGTCTTTCGCCAGCTTGACTCATGTCAAAGAGTCAATTCAATTATTAAGTCCACTGTGATCTTTGAACACTGCAAACACAGTCCTTGCAGCAATGAATAGTTTCGTTGGACTTAGCTGACATTCTAACTAATGACTTTATACAAAGATGGTAGGCAATTAAGCCCCAGCATTATTCGATTTCTGTTGGCATCATTTTCCTAAATACAAATAAGTAGATGTCTTAGAAATGTATTATTTCAACCATCAATAACCTACTCGTATTGAGGGAAGGAAGATTTGTTAGCATCTAGTATGCATGAAACACACGGCCTGATATTTGCATACCACGCAGTGGCACTGGGCAGAAGAAGAGCCCTGCTGGATCAGGCCAAGGGTCCATCCAGACCAGCATTCTGGTCACACACTGGCCAACCAGCTGCCCAGGGGAAACCCACAAGCAAGACCTGAGTGCAACAGCTCCCTACCACCCATGTTCCCCAACAACACAGCATAGAGTCCCTGAGAATGGAGCTAGCATGCAAACATGAGGACTAGTAGCTACTGATACCCTTATCCCCCTAAATTTGCCCAGTCCCTTTCACAGATGTCCAGAATGGTGGCCATCACTGCATCTTGCAGAATTGGATTCTATAATGTAAGTATATGTAGTATGAGGAAGTACATCAATTCATCTGTCCTGAATCTTCCATGCATCAGCTTCATAGCATGCCCCCGGGCTCGAGTGTTATGGGGGAGGGAGAAAAATGTCTCCCTCCCCAATTTCTCCACATCAGGCATGATTTTAAGCCCCGCAAAATGTTTCCCCTTTTTTCCTAAACTAAACGATCAGATGTTGTAACTTGCTCTAGCCCCCTGATGATTTCAGTTGCCCTTTTCTGCATTTTTCCCAATCCCACAATATCCTTTTTTAAGGGGTATTTCAAGTGTGGACCCACCAGATTGGAATGAGTATGATATCAGCAGTTTTACTTTTATTTCCTAACTATATGTAATATGCAGTTGGCTAATTATGCCTAACGTGCAGTCTGCTAATCTTTGCATTGGTCACTATTGTTCCAAACAGAAGAAGAAGATTGGCACAGTGGAACCGTTCAGTTCAGCGGTCATCAGGACAGCTGGGCTTCTGCCTCCCTCACATCCTCTTGATCATGCTACACTTACTGGTGAAAGCCCCTCCTGATATATGTACTCAAATGTGCAATCCACCCTTTCCCTTAAATCCCAGTCTGGCTAATAATAGTTAAAAGCAGATTAGTAAAAGTCTTACATCGCTTCCGGATAAGGCTCAGGCTTGGGTTTTGGCGGGCCTCCAGGGGAAAGGGCTTCCACAAGTCAGGGGCAGCCACCGAGAACGCCTCTTGAAGTGCCTTTTCCGTCTGGATTTGATGCACGGATGGTACCATTAAGAGATCGTTCTCGGCTGACTGTAAGGACCGCGATGCGGCACGAAAGAAGTGGCGGTTTTTCAGGTATGCAGGGGCCAAGCCACTTGGCAGGTGCAGCTTCAGTCTCTCTATCAGCAAAATAGGATTGATAAGAATGCTTCATCTTTATCAGACAGAATAAGAGCCTCAGATATGGCAAAACTGACATGTGTCATATTTATCGATTAGTTATTTATTATGTATCAATCAATCAATCAATCAATTGATACCAGATTCATTATATTTATTACATTATTTGTAGCCATACAAGGTTCAGCTTTGAATTTACTGAGATCAGCCTGATTTTAATAACCCAACATTTCATCCAACACCCTCTAATTCACGGTTGTTTACCCAAACTGAGTTAGGTTCTAATCCCATGTTTAGAATGAAAAAGTTCAATAATCCCAGAAAAAAATCCTATCAGCTGGGGCATCCTGGGAGCTGAAGGACTTTTTGGGGTCTAAGGATGCCAGGATTGCACCCTTATTTAGAAAATCATACCTTTTAAAAATGCCATTTTGATCTGTGGTGTACTCAACTAAGGTTGGCCAATATAGTATATTACATCAGCTGATTGTATGTATGTTTCTGATAGTAGTGATAGAATTAAAGAGAACATGTGACCCTCTGATGTGTGTGAACTTAAGTTCTCCTGAATGAATCCTAACTGGGTGATTTCTTTTGTTATTTCCAAAAAATAAAAAATAAAAAAAAATCTAAGCTGCTTATAAATTCCCAAGGTATTCATAGAAACCATAAGACCCAATCCTTGTAAGAGATAAAATTCCCTGCTAGAAAGCATATTCCAGGAAGGAAAACATATTATGCATGCAAATATTGTGCCTGAGTTTTCAGTCTCCGCATATGGAAAACTCTGTATACTGGTGTCCCACATGCAAATACAGGAGTGGCACAGCTCCATTAGGCCAGTCGCATTGGTGGATCTCTCTTCCTTGCACAATTGGATTACTGGGTGATCTGCTCTCTATTTTAATTATTCGCACTGCCCCAAGACTTGTAGCATCCCTTTCGGACATTGTGACGGGTACAGTGAGCTGCTTGCCACTCCAGCCACCTCACGGGGAGGGCCAAGGTCTAGTGTTAGCCGTGGTCCCTGCTGCCCAGCAGCTGCTCAAGGCTGTTGGGTGCCACGTTAACCCTGTGTAAACACAATAATGTGCACCTATATAAATAAAAATGGTTTCCAGAGTCTGGAAAATTGTGGTTTCCTTTCTATCATCCAGGTTGCTAGCAAAAATAAATGAACACAATTCATGACGGAATGACAGCAACATACCGTTCCAGAACTTCCCATTTCCTTGCTTGCTTTTGGGATTCACACACTTCCCATGGAGTAGCTGTAAAGTGCCCCTGCAGCTGGTGCAGTCATTGTACCCTTTGCATGCTGTGCAAGTCCTGGGACAGGCTTCGCATTCCTCTGTGACCTTGTCGCTGTAGAAACCAGCTCCGCAGTCACTCACACATGTCCCATCTGGAGAAGCAGAGATACAAAACCTTTATGTTACCGAGGCCAGCTAAGTGGTGTGTCCTGAGAGCAGGAATTATAGTGCGCTGCCTGTTTTTACCAACACCTGGTGTCCATCTGCTATAGGTGGCACGGACTAAGAGCATCTGTTCTCATTTGTATTTTCATGTACTGTCCAGAGAATTTTGACTATTGGGCATTATAGAAACACAGCAAACAAATTACTACTACTATTTTGCACTGATAACTTAGTGACAACTGCAAGACGTGCTGACGTAACTGGGAGAACCATCATCACACTAATATGGTTTATTTCTCAGTAAACTGCTCTATTGGATGTGTGCATCACCTTCAGTGCTAGGTCTAGGGAAACTTACTGGAGCCCAAACGGCCAAAGCAGAGCTGCAGATGTGACCACAGTTTCTACTGTACCATTTAGGAGTAGAATCACAGGGCAACTGGCAAACCTTCCCCAGCCACTCCAATTGTCTGCTGCTGTATGGAATGTGGGAAGAAACTATAGAAAACTGTAAGTCACAGCCATAATGTCACTTTCTTATAACAGCCCAAAGTCAATTTGCTTCACCTCTGAACACAGAAAACTTAGCTTGACCAAAGCCGACCAAGTGAAGATAACTTATGATAAGGAGGCAGGGTATGTCTATCTGATCGTGTGACAAGTTCAGTTTACAACAATCAGAAAGGTATAGATGATAGTATACAGCAATTCACAGTTGGCTGCCTCTTTGCCTGCCTGTAACTTGACAACCATTCACAGGAATAGGATATATGTGAATCATGTCACAAGCTCACTGTAAAAAGTTACCTGAAAAAAGAATGGCATGAATTTAACCTCAGGCTGCAGGGTATACCATCCAATCTTCTCTTATATTGACAAAATTACATACACACTAACAAGCTTAAAGTGAAAAGAATTTTGGAGACACTCCAAAAGAGCACAAGAGTTTCTGCAATTTTGTGCAGCATGAAAGGCAGAAGGAATTGGGGTGGGGGGGAGGTCCTGAAAAAACGATGGTGCTGCAGGGCAAGGCCCTACACTGATCCCCATGCAGATAGCAACATAATTAGAAATTAGCACGGCCGTGTTGGATAGTAGGGTCCCCGCCCCTGTAGTGTGGGCCAACTCCAGGTCGGGATACTAAGGGGTTCCTCTGCCACTATGATAAAATTGACACATAACTTCTTCCCCAAGGAAAAAAGAATAAACCATGCAGGAATAATCTGAATAGGTTCATTACTGGTCCTGGTAAAATATCCATCAGCAGAGGATGTAACTTAAACAGGATACATTTTCAGATATGATGTATAATAAATACTTAAAAGTAAGGGGCTGTGGTTTATGCTGCCAGAACACATTGCTAGTACCGCAGCAATGGGCAGTTCCTGAGGTAAGCATCAAACGAGTAGAAACAAGCATTTCCGGGATGGGATAGACCAGTGGAGCTCCCTTTTGTGAGCTCGGCTCACCTGGCCCATTCCAGAAATGAATGCTGCAGCTGGTTTTGGTTGTTTTAGGAGAAGCTAGTTCCTGTGGCATTTTGGTACTGCAGGGGCAGTACAGGATACCATCCAAAAATAATGACATAGAGGTTGGCTTGGGAAGGTTCAGCTCAAACATCCCAAACAAAATCGGACCATTAGGTAAATAAATCAGTTGAGAATTGGATGGGAGAAGAGATGTGCAGAAGAATTCCTGTTACACAAGCAGCAAGTGGACTTTTCGCACTGTTAGACTTTTTGAACCGGGAGATAATATGTGTTTATGTGTGTGGTGTCATCATAAACAAAGAAAGAAGGGGTGAAGTACAGCATCACAGATTCCAGATGATGGTCAGTGTCTCTCAGCTGAATATACATTCTGTCTTCCTGGGAAGGTGATGAGATCATTTTCAAGGAACTAACATGTAAACTACTTGTAACTTTGTTTACCTTGAAGAAAAAAGCCTTCTTTACACCAGTAACACTCATATTTGTCACAGCTTCTGCAATTTGGTTGACATTCTATGCAAAGCAGAGAATTTTCATCATTGTAGGTATCTGGAGGACAACTTCTATAGCATTTCTGATTGTACCTGGAGACAAAATATGCAGTTTTGAAACTGGCATTCTTCAGCTCAAGTTAGAAAGCAAGGAAAGCATGGATAACTCTGGTCCAAACTTAACTTAAGGCAATATGAAGAATCCTCTCAAATGTCTGACACATAAATCAACATTCAGTTATAAAATGAAAATTGGCAATATCAATGCACATTCTTAACTATGGCGTATACTTGGGGTGCATTGCAGAAAAATCTTCTTTTCTCTCATCACTCAAAAGGCATCTTCTTTACTGAGCTCTGGAGCATCTTTGGCCACTTCATAATATTTCAAAGAAAGCACTGTTTTGTTTCAGAAAAGGGAGAGAAAGAGAGGAGGAAGTGGGGATGCAGAAGAGTGAGGATAAACTTACATGTAATAATTATGCATGCACGATGTACATGTTCTTGGGTCATCTGGAATAAAAAGCAGACAACACATTGAAAGAAAGCAAAATACTGTGCTGATCCAAATATATACAAATCTCATTTGACCAAATATAGAGATGAAAAGGGAGCTCTGTTGTAGAGTTGCCGTGGTGGTGGTGGTGGTGGTGACCATGATGACGACAATGATCATTTCTGTAATTTGATTTATTTTGTGAAAAATACGAAGTATCTTTTGGACAGGATAGTGGCTGATTTACACTTAAAATGTTTCTTTGACTTATCATAGAATCATAGAAGAGTAGCACTGGAAGAGGCCTAAAAGGCCATCTGTGTAGCACAGCTAATCTTGAGCATAAACAGTACAAATGTGAAGGAATAAACCAGGAGTGGGAACTAGATTTAAGTGAGGTGCCAGATGACATGGGTGCCAACTTTGGGCTCAGTGACATTAGGGGCTCTGGCTTTTCCCACCAGAGTCCTCCATGGCCAGAGGGGCTTCTCTTGCCCCATACTTTCCTCCACTGAGGGGGATGAAGGGCAGATACTTGCCATCCCAACTATGCTAGTGAATGGTGTACTAAGAGAATCCCCACACCAGTCAGATCAAAGGTAGCAGAGGCGTTTCTTCTCAGCATGCTGTTCGCCCTTCCAGTTGGGAGGGAGAATGGCATTCAGGGGCAGGGCCTGTGGGAATAGGAAGGGCCTCAGCTGGGGTCCCATAGACTGGATGAGGCAGTCTGGTGGCCTTAGTAGCAATAGGGCTGCAGCCTAAACTGAGCCCTTGAGCCGTTGTACGCACTTAGTTCAAAACAATGGAGTACCTGTCATTGTTAGAGTTTGCTGGGGCAGGACATTTCCATTTTGCTGGAATAGAACATTATGCCAAATATCCTTAGGATATTTCCTTGTTCTAAGGCCAGAGCAGGAGATTTGGGGTTTAAATGATTAAAGATCAATGAAGCTTAGGTGAGAGAGAACTCTCAGACGGCCATTATTTCCTCTAATCTAATCATGACTTTCTTGCTGCTTGTAGATTCTCTTAACTCTAACACAATTGCATTCAGTATTCAGTATATAATGAATCATCTCTGCAAGTACATTAAAAATCCCCTTTCTGAGAGGAACCCAGTTCTCCTGCTAAAAGCAATTCTTTAGAACTGGGACCACCTTCAAGTTGGCAATCAGCTCTTTGAGCACGCCAGACACAAGGGCAGCTGCGTTTCGTGGGAGGGGGGAGGATCAATGGCATTGTCAACTACCAACAAGCAAACAAACTGCTGTGGGACTGCTGGAGATGCTCTAGGCATGAATGGAACAAGGACCATTTTTCATTTTAATGGTATATTTCTAGTCAAATCAGGATGCACTTTCCTACCTCTACAGCCTAGTCCAATGATTGATTAGTAACAAATAGGTCTCATGGAATTTAATAAGTATGTTATATTCCTTAATAGGTATGCATGCAATTGCAGCAGCCTAATTCACGTTTCTTTGAATCTGAAATTGATCCTTATTTTCCTTAGAAAGAAAGGAGTGTGTCTTTCTGTGTATGAATGCATAAAAGGTTAAATGACATGCTGGTGGGAACTACAATGCCCTAGACCTAGAATGGGGCCACCCATCTATTGCATTAGACAACCTGATGTGTTAGGAGCAGAAGCTTGCAGTACAAATTAATTCACACCTACAGTGATGATTTAGATTTCCATTGAAATCAGCAAGAAATAAAAGTAAACTATTTTCTAGAGCTGTTTTTCAATTAAATAAACAAGTAAAAAAACTATGCACAATGATGAGAATTACATTTATTCTACTGTGTCATTTTCTTCTCAGGAATAAGTTTGATTACCATTCTGAACTGTTATTGCTATATTTTATTTACATTTTTCTTTTTATTGAACATTAACATTTAATAACATCGAAAAGACTGGGAAACATAATGCATCCTATACTTGCAGAATTATATTTAACTGCAGTAGAACCAGTTCAGCCGATTTTGTAAGGCATCCCTTTAAATGAAACTACCTCCCTTCTATTAAGACAGCTTCAATAGGTGTGCTAGTGCTGGTCAACAGCCAAATTGAGGGTTGCCATTTCTTTCTCCTATCAGTGTTGCTGCGATTTTAACATCTGCATAACAGACAGAAATTCAACAGGATTACCTTTTTTGTTAAACTTTCAGGTACCTGTTTTGTGGCTATACTGCATGACCCAGGAAGGAAGCAAGGGCGCACTGGCAATCTTACACATGAGTTTTCCAGCAGAATTCCAACAGAACAAGCAGGAAAATGTTTCTTTTATTAGACAAATTAATGGAAAACACACCTAGCCAACTAGCAGTGATTTGAGCCTTGATAGCAAAATGGAACATCCATGGTCAGGGGCAGTTTACTTCCAACTAGTAACAGAAAATAGGCATTGGGAATAAAAAAAAACTCGGGGCAGAGCCCTTATCTTTATGGCCTACAGGAACTCCCCAGAAGTATCTGACTGCTGCAAAGTGAATGTGAGACCATTTATTAAAAAATATTTATGTGCTGGTTTTTACATAGCAGGGTCCTAAAATCATTTTGGGGACCTCAGGGCCCACTTTAACATGTCCCCTTGCCACACACAAACCATGACCCTACCCATGAATACAATCTTGTGAGTCATGCAAGGAAAAAAAAGCACATTAATTCTAAAATTACATAGTCTGCATTTCTGAAATTATGCCTTCGCCTACTACACTTGGGCATTTCTACCAAACACTCCCCCACCCTTGACATCCAAAACTTGCTGACACACTGTGTAACTTTGTGATTTGTTCTAATAAAGGTTCATCTTGTCAATATTTTGATTGTGGATGCAAACATTTTATGAACGGACCATTTCACCCTAATGCTTTTTTTTCTGGCCTTTTTCGATGCACAGCCATGAGCCACCTCCCCGCACAGCCAATATGTGCTACATTTATTTTGGGCCTGCCAATCCTACCGCTCTATGGCAGCAGCAGCTCCCACTGACCCCGGGACCAGAGCCCTAACAAGGAGCGTTCTGTGGTTCTTCCACCAGCCATCGTTCTCTCTGCGTGTACACGCAAGGAGGTCTGAGACGGGCGTTGGCCGCAAAAGCATATGGAAGGGGGAGGTTTCTCTCCCCCCGCCCCCGCCACACACTCTGCTTCTCTTTCTTAGTCTCAAACGACAGATCCTAGCTGAGTGTGCACAAGCACCCCTAATGGAGTGTGTGCAAGGGCCTGACCAGGGAGTCCCTGTCAAAATACTGCTGGTCACGTCCTGCATTGCTTCTGATTGCCTTCAGCAGATTTCACAAGGCATGGATATTAGGGACATAGATTCAAGGACGTAGATTTCCATAATTTTCAAGTGTGGGTTCCAGGGTGGTCTTGAGGACATGTCTTGGTTACTCCTCTTAGTTAACTACTACTATTCCTACACAGTTTAAGGGCAGCTGAGATCACTGTGGAATAGGTGCTCAAAATTCATGCTCAAAATGGGGTTCAAAGGAGCTGTTTAGTTTACTTTGTGTTCAGTCTTTCGGGCAGGTGACTTTTCCTTTGTCGTGCCCCCCCCCCCACCATGGCAGCCATTTTGTGGTTGTGCACTGGACAGTTTTTCAGATTGCCAAGTGTGCCCACAGCCCCAAAAGGCTGGCTAACCCTGACCTATTTTCAGTGATTCGGGGCCTTGGAGATAAAGCAGAGTTATCCTCCCACAGTCTTTTGGAGAGGATATGACCACACAGAAAGCAGTTTTAGATGAGAGCTGTAGGCAAGCCCACCAAGGGCACCTGGGCCAGCATGGGCATGGACCACAGTTGCTTCCTTCTTATTTATTTTTCAAAATACATTTAATAGCTGGGGACAGCCAGTCAGGAATGTACATGGTTGCAGAAGCTCATGTTGCCATTTTTACTTCAAAAATATACTATACTTTTGCACATCAGGGTGGAGCTTATTTCCAACACAGAAGCACACTCCAGTTTGAGGTTTGAGGGAAGGGGAGCCATCGCTGGACACTTGCTGAAGGCCCACTCTCCAGCAGCAGCCTGCTCACAAGAGTCCCCCTGCTCTGTGTCGTTGAAACCTGCCTGGTCACCTGCTTCTCAGTCTGCTCCGGATAGTTTTTGAACTGAATAGACCCACAGTACTGTGAGGGATGGACCGTGGGGCCAAAGTACAGGGTCCCACTGCCTGGGGGGTAGGCAGATGACAACACAGAGAGCAGTTGGTGATAGGGGAGCTGCAGACAAGCCCAGTGCCCGGGCCAGCGTGGGCACCCACAGGGCCAACAGGGCAGAAACTGAGGAGGAGGGTGAGGAGGGGAGCAATGGATGCCACTGCCTACTTGCTCAAAAGGGTCTGTCAAGCAAGCCAATGGCACTAGGATGAGAAAGTGAGGGAGGGACTGGTGGCGAGATGGTGTCTTGCTCAAGGAAACCAGGATCTTGCTCACAAACCAGGATCTGGTGGTCATGATGGTACCACGACTGAAGCAGATTAGGATTCACAAGTACACATGCTCAGAGTATTTATTGCTCTTTTTATCAGTCTTTTTCAAAACTGGTTGAAAAAGGGGATATAGAATCATTTGTAAAGCATGGCATATTGGTGGGGTAAGGAGAAGGGAAATATTAATTATGCTCTTCATACCTGAAGTAAGAGAACAGGGCCTTCCATAAAGGGGGACTTACCAGTCAATTAAATCCAAAGTCTGAAATACCCTAGTGGCAGGGCTTAAATAGAAGGGCAGTAAGCATGCCAGCAAAGGGAAGAGTAATCATAAAAGATTAGGGTAAGTACAGCTCATTCCAGGTTTGTTTTTTTAAATCATTAATGAAAAACATAATGTACAAATCAATAAAACTGTCAGTCTTCATACGCACTGAGCCATTAATACGGATTGCACAAAACGCCATAGACACCATTCTAACCAAAGACTGCTTCTCTAGCTCCTTCAGAGTTTTACATGACAGACTGAATTGCAGCTTTGAGTCTCTCCCATGAAGGCTGCACAATGTACTGATGTGTGGTAGACCGCAGATGAAAAAAGACATTTGTACTTTAGCTAATGGTGCTTTTGCATTCTTGTGACGTGCTAGTTAAAGCGTAAGTGATGATGCCCTTGATTTTATCAGCTAGGTCAATGGATAAGGCAAAGCTCTCGCTATTGCGAGGCATTGTAGCTATTAATCATCATGGATGATTTTGAGAAATGAAATTGCTTTGTGTGTGTGTATGCAGGTTTTTTTTTAAAACCACTGGAATTAACATATTTTCTCCCTGCCACAGACCCAGTTCTCCCAGCTGCCAAGTTATGAATGTGAGAGGGGGGTCTTGAGCTTCTTTAAATCTTCCAAGGACACCTTTGTTGTGCACTTTCTTTCCCCTCTGTATACTTAATGGAATCTGCAAAACCTTCTCCATGTTATTACATCTCACTTGCAAATACGCCTTCACTAAATATAATTTAAATTTAAAATATGTTCTTAAGGAAAGAGTCTATTCATGCTTGTATTAGCTTCTTTGGACAATAGTTGGATAGGAAATGGAGATACTGGGAGATTTATAGCAACTGAATACTTGGTATGCCATCTAAAGACAGTACTAGGTCAAAGAGGGCACCGTGAGATCAGTGAGATAATTTCAAAATAAGTGCTAGAAATTTGGATTATAAAATTGAACTGATTTTATACTGAGTGTTGTTCCAGTAAGGCCATAGGAGTGGAATGCGCTCAAGGTGATCCAGACAGAGGAGTTGAATCAGAGATCTCTGAATGCACATGTGAGTGTTGCCATTCCACATTGCCACACCACACCTCTGCCAAGCCCCTTTCAAACAACATCTCTGCATTGACTGAATGAGGAAACAGTGGGATTGCCTGGCTGCACCCCCACCAGAGCTCTGTTCAGCTGAAGGTGTGAGCAGAGACCTTCCATGGTGTAGAAAAATCCCCTCCAAGTACTTCTATTCATACCTGCATGCCAGCTCAGAGGCTGGTGGCAAGATAGTTGAATCTAAGCCTGGTCTACTCTACCCCATATGTTTATCTAATATGGAAATGTAGTCTGCAAAGAGCTCCCCTGTCATCAGTATAGATTGCATCAAGTACTCTTCAATAGGGCATCTGGCACCACAGCTGGCCAAGTGTTGCTCTGGCAAATAACTGGAAAAGTTTGGATTTCTAACCTGAATCTCTAGCATCTGAGTTTGTCTTTCCTCAAGGTGGAGGAACCTGCGGTGCAAATAAACCACTGATTTTTCCTGTACCCCATAACAACCGTCTCCTGCATTTTCATAGGATCAGAGCTGGAAAGGGCCTCCAAGATCATCTGCTTCAACTCATGGCTTTCAGAAGCACTAGCTCTGGTTGTGCCAGTGGGGAATTGCACCAATGCAGTGGAATTAGCAGAGGTGCAATGGAAGTATAGGATTTCTGTCCTTTGCATTATATTGCTTTTTGCTCATTTTTACGCACACCACCCTGACATTTTTGAGATGAAGGTGTGGTTTCTATATGTTTCTAAACATTCACTTACCGAAAGAAATATCTGTATGATCTAGGTATTATCACCAGAATTATATATTGCCTTAGTCAAAAGCTGTAGCATTCAAATATGCAAAAACTGTTGTTTACTCAACACAAACACAAAAAACAACCAAGCCATATGCCGATCTGATTACTGTATCCTTTTTAACTATTCTAAGTCTGGTGCCATTTTTCAGTATTTGGAGGCACTGGGATAGGACACAGTTCGCACTGTTGGCCTCATACACTTGCTGGCATTCCCTGCTCCCCTTCTAATCCCAATGCAATTAGCCAGGCACAATCAGATGCTCTGTGTTACCTCATAAAATGCTTAGGCCTATTGCTTGAATGTGAATTCATGAACACATTTAGCTAAATCAAGTTTTACTATTCATCCCCTCAGAAACAAAGATTTTCCCCTGACCGTGTTGGCCTTCATTATGTAGGCCCCTCAGAGTAGCGAAATGTCTTTCAAAAGTTGGCAATCTTACTTGGAGATGCCTTTGTTTATCTATGTTTGGACCCTTCTCTTAGTACATTGGTATTTTAAAATATACCAACTATCTCTCTAAGATCAGCAGTTAAAACGTAGGAGTTCTTTGGGTCATCCTGCTCTCCTTTAATCACAAACTCATAGAACCTTCCAGCAGCCCCCAGTCACAAAAGTAATAAATCTGGAGAAATTAACTGAATTTCAGCCATTCTCTGAACATTTAATTCTATAATATGGCTAACTACAGATAGCAGGATAAGGGACCACGTGATAAATAAAGGCTGTGGTTGTCACCTGATTTTGTAAATTTAATCTGTCCATCATTTTAGGTGGTATTTAGCTGATGACATCAAAAATTAACACAAAACATATACTGAGAAGGGTGATGTCGTCTTCCTGACTACAGGAAGTACCTACAAGCATTGAAACTGGTGACAGTCTACCCTCCATAAAGACATTATTTTTAACTCTCTAGCAATGATAGAACAACCCTCAGAAAACAGAGGAGAACGCTGTGGACTTTTCTATTAAGACATTGTTTTAGGTGCTTTGGGATGATTTATTAATGGACAAGCTTATCCACCTTGTGAAGGCTCTTAAGTGTTATGTAATGCTTGAAACTTTTCAAGAAACATGGTATCCATTTTTGGGGTATGTTGTTCATACTTCCCAGGATTGTTGTAAAATTTTGCTAATCTGTTAAGGGAAAATCATTTCAGCTCAAAAGTTTTGCAGTTCTGTACTTTATCTGAATTAGATTGTGTTCAATTGTATTGTGCATTAATGTATTCACTCTCTTTATTCAAGCTTATTTGTTAGAAGTGAAAGAACCAGCAGGCAACAGAAATTCTGGGATGTTTTCATTACTCAGCAACATCAATTGTCCTTCAGAATAGAAATCAACTGGGAAAAGTAACTGGCTTACTTGACAAGGAAGTGATCTTAAGGTTCATCAGGACTAATGTTGATTTAAAGAACTGACTGGACATACATTGAGGGATTTATTATGGAAGGAGATTCTAGCCCAGATTGGTCCAACTTTTCATACCGTGAGGGCCACATGAGGACTTGGACACAGAACTCAGTGGCCACACAATGAATGGCATTTCCATGTCATACATTAACATTCTTCTTGGAATCGGCATGCTAAACCTCTTGTACGAGAGCCAATGAACTCTCCCCAGCATGCCCCACCTGCTCCAAAGGTGCTCAGCTTGGCACTTGCCAGCTGGTGTGGCACGGAGCTTGCTGGCACAAGCTCCCCCAAGGTTGCCACAATCTTGCCCATGCCATCACTGGAATCCCAACTGGGGGGAGAATGAGGGGGACACCCCGAACGGCAAGAGGGCAGCAGAACAAGGCCTTGGGGGGCTGCATGTGCCCCATGGGCCATGTTTTGGACCACCCCATTCTAGCCTTACTGGCACTGACAACCTATCACTGACATCCAAGGAGCTCCAGGAACAGATGGTGAGAGAAAATGCCTTCCCAACTGAAAGAACAAAACAAAATAAGAAAATCAGGCAATGTAAAGATAGAACATACCCGAATTGCAGGACAGGCATCCATCTGCACAAGGAATACAGACTTCTGAGTCAGGGTCTTCTACTTCACCTGCACATTGGATAGTCCAAGTATTAATTTAATTGTTCCCCCAAAACAGGATTTAACTTCTGGAAAATACCCAAGCAACATTTCTCTGCACCTACCATAAACATGGGCCTATCTTCCACAGCCTGCCCCCTGCACTCCCCGGCCAGGTTACACGTCCGTGCAAGGTAAGGAGAATCATGATTCCTTGACTGTTTTGGAGGATTGATTATTGTTTTCTATCTTTTCAGCTTCTCACATTTTTGACTGCTTAATCTGCATTTTTAGCCAGCTGTGGCAACATGGCATGCACTGCAAGTCAATTATCCCAGTAAATGTCCTATAGATGAAGTTTCCTGCTCTGGGACTGTACAACCTCTCTCTCTCTCCCCACTTGTGAATGTGCCTAATGCATAGAAGGGGTGCCTCTATTGCCGTATGAATTTCCAGCCCCGCCACTCCACACCCATAATCCAAGAGGAAGTCTACCTATGTAGAATTCTTCAGGTGTAGGTTTCCCATGATATGGTGCACCATTTGCACTGGGTTTCCAACTGTATGAGAGGCTATGACCAAAGGTTTTCTTTTTTTAATGATCCATGCTTGGGATGGGGAAGATGTCAGGTGTGGAGCTGATGGGGAGGCCCTTCTGACCGTTCTGTGTGTGAGGCTGCCTTCCTGTGGTTATGTGCAGGGGCGGGGGGGTGTGTGTGGTTTTTCTTCCTTTTTCTTTAGCCAAGTGCCCAGGATGTTGCTTACCCCCTGCCCTCCCAACACGGCTTACATGATTTGCATGAATATTTTCAAGAACAATCTGATAATGTCCCCTGTTAAAAAAGGCAGTGATTAGACCCCTTTAGAAGAGGACAAACCTGGATCCAGAAGAGGTTAGTAATTTTAGGCCAGTAGCCAATATTCCATTCCTGAGCAACATACTTGAGTAAATGGTGGCTGGACAACTCCAGGTACTCTTGGAAGAAACTGAGTATCTGGACCCATTTCAGTCCAATTTTAGGCCTGTTTATGGAACAGAAACTGCCTCAGTTGCCCTGTGGGATGACCTTTGTCAGGAGAAAGATGGGGGAGTGCACCCCTGTTGGTTCTCCTAGACCTTTCAGCAATATTCAGTACCATCGTCCATGGCATCCTTCTGGATAGGATGGCTGGGTTGGGAGTCAGGGGTACTCCTCTGCAATGCTTGCACTCTTACTTGGCTGACTGATTCCAGATGCTGTTGCTGGGAGGAATGTAGCTTTGCACCATGGCAAGTATGTCATGGAGTACCAAAGGGCTCCATCTTTTCCCCCATGCTTTTCAACATTTACATGAAGCTGTTGGAAGAGGTCATCAGGGGCTTTGGGTTGAAGTATCATTGGTACGCTGATGACACTTAGCTCTACCTCTCATTTTCATCAAATCCAGGTGAGGCGGTGAGGGACCTAAACCAGTGTCTGGCTGGGGTGATGGGCTGGATGATGGTCAACAAATGGTAACTTCATCCAGACAAGACTGAGATTTTGTTGGTAGGTGGCTCCCATGTCCAGATGGAGAATATCTGCCCTGTTTTGGATGGGGTTGCGCTCCCTCTAGAGGACAGGGTCTGGAGCTTGGAGGTGCTTCTGGATCCTGAGCTGTCCCGGGAGAACCAGGTTGGCTCAGTGGCCAGGAGTGCCTTCTATAAGTTCAGATTAATTTGTCAGCTTCGACCATATCTGGACAGGCAGGACCTAGCAACAGCAATCCATGCCCTGGTATCCTCTCGGATGGACTACTGTAATGCAGTAGTCTGGGCATAGTCGTCTATGCTGGGCTGTCCTTGAAAATGGTCCAGAAGTTACAGTTGGTGCAAAATAGAGCAGCCAGGCTGTCGATGGGGACTAGTAGTACCAAACATATTACACCAGTCCTCTATGAATTACACTGGTTGCCCATTGAAGTCTGGGCTCACTTCAAGGTGCTTGTTTTGATGTATAAAGCCCTAAACAGTTTAGGACCTGAAATCTGAAAGGACATATCCATCCATATTGGCCTACCCAGACCCTGAGATCATCATTAGAGGCCCTGCTCCAGGAGCCATCTCTGAAGGAATCTAGGAGGATGGCTTTCTGAGGCAGGGCCTTCTCAGATGTGGCACACCAACTATAGAATCAACTTTCCAGGGATATTTGTCAAGCGCCGTCCTTTCACATATTCTGGAGCCAGACAAAGATGTTTTCATTTAAGGAGCATTTTAATTATTATTTTAATTGAATTGAATTTTAATTATATCTTAATGTAAATTTTAGTTTCTTAATTATGACATTTGAGATAGTTCCAATCTGTTGTTAAACTATTATTTGGTGTTCCTGTTATGATGTTATGTCATTTATTATGAATATTCTGGTTTTAACTGTCTAAATTTGTGTGTGTTTTTATGTTGTTGGCTTTTAGCATATAAACCACCTAGAGAACCATGTGACTATGAGATGGTATACAAAAGTGTTAAATGAATAAATAAAAATGATAGTAAGGTAGCAACTCACACTGGTCCACCTCGTATTTTCCTGTTCCAAAGGAGCATACCCATTCTGCTTCTACTCTTGAGCCCTGATTCTGGAACTAGCTGAATCAGGAACTAGCCTTTTTTTTTTTTTTTTTGCAAAAATAACGTATCTACGTGTTAATGGTGCTGATCTCAATATTGGAACCACTTCTGCTAGCTTTTTATTTTATATCAACAGAATGCCTGGACTGAATGCCTTTAGCAAATTGCCTGGCTAAAAGTTCATCAGATTAGATAAATGAATTTCAAATACCTCCCCCCAATTTATAGCAAAACACTTCTGTGTAAACTTGTAATAGAAAACCTCGGTTTAGGTCCTGCAATATATGATGACACGCTTTAAAGTGAAATTGAGAGAGCAGATTTTGCCCTCACTCCAATTCCACCACCACTTTGCAGGAGCCAAAACAGTTTAGTATTACTTTCAGCACTCGGCATCAGTAACTGATATCACCACATGTTATGGAAATAAGCCAAACTAATGGTTTTGCTCTTCACTGGAGGTCAGTTCTTAAAAATATGCTGTTGATGTTGACTATAAATGCCTGCATTCTCCAGGCTTTGGGGAGGTGGGTTCCTGTCAGAGGTCTTGTGCAAGCACAGGGATGCTGAACAGCAATGCAAGGGCCTTATAAATATGGATGTGTTTGAATTGTGGTAAATCACTCTCTGCTTTTAAAATCAGATCCAATTTAACAGCAAACATTGTATTTCAAAGAGCAATCAAGCCTGCAAGCTTATTCCCACTTATACAGAAGCAAGCCCCATTAAACTCAGTGGGACTTACTTCTGAACAGAAATGCATAGAACTGCGATGTTAGAAGTTCACGAGGTGATGTCAACTATTTCACAGGCAGATACAGTTATGCTTTTGCATACTTCACTTTTTAACCAGCTTTTTTGCCTGTTCTTTTTAAATAAATATATCCACAGTTTAATAAGAGCATAGAGACTGGAGTGGAGGAAGCAGGGAAGCTGGACTGCATTCAGAAAAACTGGATTTGGGAGACTGGGGCTTGGATTTTAAAAACATGTCTCATAATTATAATTTCAATAGACTCATACATACACAACACGAACATCCTGTGGGATAAATACTTGTTAAAGTATATTTTAATCATAAGCTGGCCTCTGTTTCTTCTAGGGAAGGGACAGTCATATTGACACGCAATGGCTTTTCTGCCAGAACTTCAGCAGTGCTCCATGCTTCCACCAAGTGGCGGCTCACTCATGGACCAGTTGTACTGGGAGGAAAAGGGGGAACAACTGCTTTAGAGAAGTTTTGGCAATCTGGACTCGCTGGCTTAACCCACACTGGCCAGCCCTGGAATAGCAGCTCTCTGTGACTCACCCAAGTGCTTGGCTACATTCAAGGATAAACCTCTCTTAACATCCTATATTCACCACCTTGCTGTTGTACTCAGTTGGACATACTTCTAAGTAGATATGGATAGGACTGTGTTGTTAGTCACTGTACTGAGAAAAAGGTCCCATTTGAAAATGTCACCTGGTATTTAGCCTACTTGCAATCCCTTACAGAGAACTCAAAGGGATTTTGTGTGTGGAAATGGCAGCCTGCTCTTGGATTGTTTTCAGTAAGCTCTGATGCAATGAGATGAAGAATGGCACAGAGAACATTCTCCATGAGCGTGTTAATGTTCTGCTGTCAGACACTTTACCTTTTCTACATTTGTGCCTCTGGCAGCTGCGATCGGCCAAGTAGTATCCTTGGAAGCATCTCTCACAGCTGGCTTGATCAAGGCACACTTCACAGTGTTCGAAGCACGGCATGCATTTATGGCCATTTTCTGAAGGATAGTAGCCCAGAGGGCAACTCTCAGTGCACTCTCCCAGGTGTAGGAAAAGTGCATTGCCTTTCTTGTCTGCAAGATAAGACAGAACACAAATGTTAGGAAAATAAAGGGCCAGGACCTACAATGCCTAATATCAGAGCAAGCCCTAAGCACTGCATGATGCTAAAAGGATGATCCCAGCAAGAAACAGAAGAGCGAATCATGAGGTGAAGCCACTGGTACCTTTCTTTTCCATTTACATATCTGCCTAAAATGGAAATGACTTCCTGTAACTGAGTCAATAACTGAGTCATTTTCTCTCAGTAGCTCATTCCAAAGTCCATTATTTTCTCAGAAAGCCTGAAGTGTGTGATTTAATTAACAGAGGAGGAATAGCATTAATAGAACAAGAAAGGTTTCTTGAAGGCAGTCCTAAAAGTAATACAAGATGCAAAGCCTTGTTCTCCCCACATTGTCCAGTATGTCAGCTTGTTCAGAACTCCTGTCAAGCTGGCTAAATTTATGATAATTTAGCTGGCTAGTTCATTGGTTAGGCATGATAATCAGGTATATCCATAAGTATATAGATACAGTTCCAGCTCTCCATCCTTGCCATCTGGGAGAAAGCTTTTAGCTATGCTTTAAATCAACCAACCAACCAACCAACCAACCAACCACAAATGAATAACACAGTGCCAAATGACACCACTGAAAGATCACTCAAAATTTTGCTAATTCAGTATTTTTTGTTTAAATTAAAAGCATTATTTTTATTTCATTCATCTACTGTCACATAGTTGAAGCTGTACGGGTGATTTATAACAGCACATATAAACAACACAAAACATGCTACAGAAGATGGAGGAATCTGAAGCAGGTGGAAATAGCTAATGGAATGCAACTGGATTTAGAGTTTTCTAGGTTGATCCAGCGGCAATCTTGAGTTTGGTCACCCTGTTTGCTTCCCAGCTGAAAATGGTGCCATAAATGCTACTATCATTGAGAAAAGGACCACTATATTGGTTGTCAGGCAGGCCTCCACTTCTGTCTCTGCTTCGCCTCTTCTGCAGGACTGGAAAGAAATGGTTGCTACACCCCCACACTATCTTTGACTAGTAATGTGTGAATCACTAAAGTTCTTTTTCTGATTGCATTCACATTTTTAAATGTTCCCAGATTCATTCTCTCCTGAATATTACCTTTACATATTTTTGGTAAATTCTTATCAAAATTACATCAAGGCTAAATTCTCATCCATTTGTGCCTACCAAATTCAATGGGTACAGTTATTCCCAGTGTGCACAGCACGGGGCCATGTTCTGTCTGCTCCCCATAAAGATGTTTAATTCAGCAGTAAAAGCTAAATACACAGAAATTGAAGTCCAGATATTTCAGAGCTTAAGACTCAAAGTCCTGGGTCAGGATGGTGGGATCTATCAGGTCTGCTTTCTCCCGCATTTGGTTTTTAAAATCTAAAATCAACCTCTTCTTGCTGGTTATAAAATTTCATTTAAAAAAAATCAAAACTGAACTTAAGTAAAATGTGCACTGAACCCTACTCCTAAAGATTGGCCCAAAGCTTCCATTCTTGTTGCTGTCATTGGGCAAGACTCTGGAAGGGTGGGAGAGGGAAAGAGCTTATTACACTGTGAACCCATTGGCTAACTCCTGGGTATTTTGTAAATATCTGGAGTAGATACCTGGAATTCATATTGTACTGGGATTTTTGGTATGCTGGGAGAATGGAACCAAGAAAACATCCATTGTATAAAAATAATTGCAATACAATTCCAAGTTGTTAAAAAAATTGGATAAATTACTGCTGTAGCTACTTTGCATTTGAGGTAAACTTAAGGGAAGAGAAATGGTATTAAAATCATGTCCTTACCTTTCCCACAAGCGGTACATTTGTTAGGTTCACTTCCACTGCATTCCATACAAGTCTGATGGCATGGATGACACTGATCCTTAAATTCAAATTTCCCTTTAGGACACTGAAGGACACAGCGCCCATCTTCCAAAAATCTATTACAAAATAAAAGGGGAAAATAAAATGCTAGTATCAGGTAACAGAAGAAAACCCTCTTTTTAAAAAACAAGCTCAAACAAACTCTGAGTGCTGCTTCCATAGTCAGTTATATTCCTTATATACTTTGCACTTTGTTCTTCCTTCTACGTGGCTGCATTTATAACTTTTGGCAAGATAAAGAGTATAGCTAAGTAACTTTGCCTTTGAACTCGATTTTCAGAGACATGATTGAGTCCATGCCTACCTGTCTCCATGTCTCAACCACTAAAGTGTTCCAAGATCCTACTAAATTTAGTGATGTACTAAAACCCACTTGTCCTTTTGCAGCTCTTCAATTCCATGCCACAGACCGTTTTTCCTGCCTCTTTCACAGAGACTGTGGGATTTTTAGAGACATTTCTTAGCATGCAGATCTTCACTGCTTGCCTTGCCTTGTAAGAATGTGGCTGAGTTGTGTATGAAAGCTCTTGTTGTTGACCTCCTTCTGCTTCTTTTTTTGCTAAAAGGATGGTCAACAACCACAACAAGACCAAGCTAAAAATGCCTTGCTCTGCTTTTGGGCTCCCAACAGGCAGCAGCTCTGAAAAGCTCCAAGGGGCCGTCATGCTCAAGTCCTCCAGGGGCTTTCCTGGAAGCACCAGATGCTGCAGAGACTGCAGAGCACAGAATGTGATGAAAGTTATAAAATAAACTGTGCCCGCTTACCCCAGCACCTTGTTATAGGTAGAAAACCCCCCAAAATTCTTGGCTCTTCCCAGTTTTTGGATGCAATCTCTTTTCATTGTTCCCTAAATGCTCAGAAAGAAATAGATACAAAATTCTGGCACGGTGCTGCTAAAAATAGGTGGAAAATCCATAATTTTTTAAAAGAATTTTCCTGTAAACAAAACACTAAGCTAAGCTTCTGCTGCAAGATTCTTTGACAGTTCTCATCCCATTTGGCTTGTTGTATCAGCCTCAAGAAATTCTAGTGCCTACATTTTAAAGTAAATCAATAATGGATGCATTTTAGGATGGCTTTTCTCTAGCTAAGTAATACGTTTCTGCAGAAATTTATTTAAGTTGCCAGGAAGGAGCAAGCAAATGGGTCTTCCAAAGGTTGGACCCCATTTCAATTTCCTTGGGTTTAATGATTTCACTCAGCATCGGGATGAGAAGGGGAGCAAACAAATTTAATTATTAATCTGATGTGAGTACTGCATTCCAGGTGAGCTGCTTTAATGATGAGCTGGTGCCTTTTGACCAGTGTGGATATGCACACACATGCAGGTTTTCTATACTATGACCCTACACGTTAGAGGCAGAGGACAATGCTGTAGCGAGCCTCCATTACAGCAATGCGAAGGCAGAAAAGGATTCAAGCTTATTGCAGCCCAGATCTGCAATGTCTTGTGAGGTCCCATTCAGAGCCTCAGGATACCCCACAGAACCCTATGCTTTTCCTGAGCCTTTCAGGCTCACTGTTTGTTTTTGTATGTTTAGTTTTTACTTGATTCCTTAACAATCATTATTCCACTTCAATATTTATTTATTTATAACATTTGTATGCCGTCCCATTATTTGCGTCTCTGGACGGCTTACAACATAGATAAACTGACAATCTTTACTTAGATAAATTGACTACTTATTGACAAGTAGCTGATTTTGTAGGGAAGGATAAATCTGCCAGTTTGGGGTTTTCTCCATTTCTCATTTTTTTTCCAATCTGAAGTTCAATTTTCCCCAAACATTTAGAATTTTGTTTTTTTCTTTACAGTTGTATGAAGATTTATATGCATTTTATGTAATTTTGCTTAACAGATTTTTTTTCAATTCATGTTTCCTAGTACCCCCCTTATTAACATTTTATGAATATTGGCATTTTTATGTGCTCTTTCCACTAAAATATTTGAGTGGAAAGAGCACCTTTTTATTTAATCAATATTTTAATATGTTTTAATATTGAATTTTATTGTATTTGCAGCCAGAATGGATCGTCAATTTATTTATTTATGCTGTTAGCCATCCAGAGTCGTTAGTAACTGGATGGCATACAAATTTCATAGATAAATAATAAATAAATACATGTTTTTAATTGGAAATTCAGCAAAGTGAGCATTTTGAAGGGTAATTAACTTTTGGTTTGTGTATTGGTTTAAACATGGAATTAGGTAAGTTTATATTAAAATGAAAACTGAATGTATTTTCTCCTCCACTCTGTCTATATATTCCAACTATGTTTTTCCTTGTTATGCTAGAAACAGAAAACATAGATTAGATTTATCTTTACAACTCTGACTCTAAGTTGCATTACATGAGGAAATCAGTGACTTAAAGAGTTCCTGCTTTAATTCCCCTTGCAGAATATGTCAAGCGGACTACCTGCTTAGGGTAGGTCTACCTCTGAGGAGGTACTCCCACTGTCCATTTCAAACAGCAAAGCGAAGGGTAAAGCCCTATTTTACAATGTATACTCCTGAATTTGAAGGGCTAAAAGAACAGTTGTGTGCTCTAGAGGGCCTCTATTAATTAAAACTATGGGATTCAGAGAAAAAAAAATAGTGCATGAATGACAAAATGACCTGTTATCAAAAGATTGGAAGGATTTCTAAAAGGATTTTAACAACAACACTTAATTCACATACCCTCAAGCATGACACTTTCCTACACTGCAAATCTTGACTTTGAATTCTCCAGAGCTTTGCTTTGATTTGTGTATACTCTCTCTCTCTTTTTCCTCTTTTTCTCCCCTCTCCCCGCTCTCACGCACATTGATATGTATAATCAATACATGAGGGAAGAATATATTTTTCTTCTTTAAACTGGAAGTGGCTACATGTGAAATAAAATAAAATTATGAAGGGGTACAGGAGGGGCAGAAATTAAAATAAGAAAGGAATAAGAAAGAGGGCGGGTCATGGAGTGGCCTCCAAACCATGCCAGGATGCTAGAACAAACTATGGATTGTGGGGCAGTTTGAAAGCTACCTCTGCTGCCCACTTTGCTGGGTTCAGATGATATTGCAACCTATGTCTGTTGTAGGTAATTAAGAAAACGAGGCAGCCACTGGCATGCGCAGGTAGGGGGAAAAGCCACTGAGGTGTCTTCTTCTTCCCACATCATGTGATTCATGTCAATAGCTTTGCAAGTGTTCTTTTAAAAAGAAGGAAATTTCCAAATGTTAGATTTAACAGAACTCAAGAAGGTATTGCTTTATATAGATTTATAATGGATTTCCCCCCACAAACCTAGAAAACTTGTTTCATACTTGGTAGAGTAAAAGAGAAGAACTCATTTCTGCTGAATGTCAACCTGCATTATCTAAGTGTCATTCATTACTTGCTTTGTCCAAGCCATTTAAAGGCCACCAAGAACCTGAGGACCTAAAAGAACTTGAGATTAAAGAGGGTTGGTTTCCAATAAATTTTAAAATAGCATGCTTCAGAACAATTTTGCCCTAATATCCTGCTGTCTTATTTTTATATAAGGAAAATTGGTTCCATTTGCTCTTCCTTATTTCTTGGAAGCTTTTCAATAACACCTAAAGCACAGCATGTGTATTAGGGACACCCAGAGGATAAAAGGGAAGGGAAACATGAAAGTGGAAGGTGTAAGTGAACTACAAACCTAGAATACGTAACCATGCGTGCAAATGGCTGTAAATTACAATGAAAAGATTCAGATCAATCATATGAATGCAACTGAAATCAAAGCACCATGGGCTATGTGTCTCAGAAAATTCCCATAATTTTGGAGACAGCCAAATTCCGAAGGGTTCAATCCACCTAACATCTGAATAAGCATCTAGAAGGCAGAGTCACCACGCCATTCCAGACTTTGAAAAATAGTAAAGCAGTAATGCAAGTGTTTTACCACATGCCCATGATACATCAGTTCACAAAGCAGCTTGAACCAGGATGGGGTAACGTAAGGCACAACTGATTAAAAAAAAAAATTACTTACCTTGTTGATTCACAGGCTGTGCAGGCCTTTGGTCCTATGCACTTAGGACAGGAAGGATCACAGAACTGACAGTGACCAAGAGGATCAATATATTCTCCTGGCAAATAAGAGCTTATTTATTACTTGATTCCCTTTATGTTTTACAGACACAGCCTTTTATAAGGCACAGAATTCCAGTAGCACATGAAGCAAATATTGGTTAATTCTCATACAAAGAAAGAAGCAAATATTGGTTAATTCTCATACAAAGAAAGAAGCAAATATTGGTTAATTCTCATACAAAGAAAAGTGAGCATGTAGAGGTACAATCCAACTCTAGGCATGACCCAGCCAGCATAAATAGGAATTCTAGGTCTTTATTCTATCTAGATGTGAATAGAATTGCCCCCTAGATCACAAATATACTAATTGCTCAGCAGCAACCTCCATGCTTTAGGTAGCTGGTGTATTTGTGCATGGGAGGTATCTGAAACAGGGCCAATAATATTTCCCCCAGCTTGGACTAAGAGTGGTCGCTGAACTGAAAGTTCAGAAGCCGCTTGAGGGCTATACACTGCAAGCTGCTACCTCAGGATGAAATAAAGGGTGATCATGATAATCTCACTATTGATAAAATCTGAGAGATGAGGTTGAACCTGATAACATGATTAATTGGGCTGTGTGTGCGGTATTAACAAGAGGCAGTTGATCACTTTGTATATAATGCAGCAGAGACGCTGCCCTGCAATGGAGCTCATGAGCTTGCGTTACGGAACAAACCCTCCAAAGGGTACAGGGCTGGCCCAGCCTTTAGGGAGAATAATGAGGCAGACACCTTGGACAACTGGTTGGGGCATAATGAAAGCGCACCAATTATAATGAACTGTGAGGGCAGCAAATGTGTTTTTATTGTATTTTTACTCTCAGGCAGCGTAACGTTATTGCACTGCTAATGAGAACAAAACAAAAAGCATTGATTGGATGGAATGTGGCAGACGTGAAATGGCTTGTAGATTGATAGAAGGGGACCAACATTTATGTGTCTTTTTAATTGTTTGTTTCTTTGTTTATAAGCCAGAGTGCAGAGAAAGTAAGATATCAGGTATGGACAGGTTGAGAAAAATCGCACATACGTGGCAGAAATATGTTATTTTGGTTGACAAATCATCCCCTGCATCTATGCCATAGAAGAACATCAAGAACACAGGTTTCAATAGATGACTGAGGAGATTAAACCAAGCCTGTATTTAGATGGATCTGGAAATAGAGATCTACACAGATGTTATTTTGATTTGTATACAAAAGGAACAGCATAAATTTTGGACATAAATTGTCCTGCTCAGCATAAATAAGAGTGGTAGATAGCGAAACCACTCAGAGATAGAGAAATGACATGTCTTGGGAGGAATTCTGTACACAGAGCTGGCTCCAAACTCATCTGGAATTCTCTATAACAAATGAACTGTTTTGCACTGCGGGATTTGCAAGCATAGACTGATTTCCAGGAATCATTAGCACATTTGTATCTGGCAGGGAGTGAAAATATAGAGCCTTTCCACCTTGCTTTTTGTCTGTAAGCAGTATTTTTGTTCTATTTTGCTCCCTTATGCTTTGCATATGGCGACTGACAAAACATTAATGAAGAAGTGAACATATTTCTCCTATTTTTCTCTGGTGAAGTAGGCACTGATGATAGAACAAACAGCATCTCTCCCCACAGTGGTCCAGGATAGATCTCAGAAAATAAGTGAGGGCTCAGCAGCCATACTGCCCTGACAAAGAATGAATTCAGTATATCAGTGTCTCCCCAGTGTGGCATTTTTTTTGCTTAATATTTATAAAAATAGATTACTTTTATATGTATGTTGTTTTCAGTTCATACAGCTCAGTTGAAGACAGGCCTGTGCCAGATCTAACAATCATAGGCCAGTAAGCTTGGTATACCTGCCCAGGAACAAGCCATGTTGTTGAATATTCCTTCTTTGCCCACCCTTCCTCCCCAGGGTGTCTGTGCTGATATCATGGCTTCTTTAACTCATTTTCTAAATGAGAGGACTGTGGATCAATCCTTATTTTGTGACCAGGTTATGAATCCAGGCATATCAACCAAAAAATGAACAGGCAAAGAAGGGATGGGCCAAGTGGATTCTCAGGATGATAAACTGAGTGAAATTGTTATGTCTGGAACAGGCCAACATCTGCTTTGCATCTTTCTCAGCACAGACATTCCTATGCACTTATAGCTCAGGCTTCATGTTGGGGACCTGGCTAGCCCTCCAACTAACTACTTGGCATCCGCAGTCAAACAAGGCCACATCCGTCTCACTGCCACCTGGAGCTAAAGAGCCCACATCAGCGTGGAGAAAAATTGCTAGGCAGGCAAAGAGTGAAGGCAGATGAGGGATGCAGCATTGCTCTCCCCTGGCCTTTCAAGTTACTTCTTTTTCTTCTTCTTCTTCCCTGGATTGGGGCTTGTGTCAAGTGCCATAGGGCCGAAATGGTTGTGGGAAGAAGTGCATGGAGTGATACTGCACTATGCTGCAACATTTTGTGCTGCTGCTTTAAGCAGCCCAGCCAGGTACCCTGTGCAGAAAGAAGCCTTCAGGGCTTGCTTCTGCAGAGGCCGCAGAAAAGAATCTTGCCATGTCAAGCCTCAGCAAAGCAGAGCTCCTCTTGATGGGGTTGAAGCACAGTGCTCAGGCCCCAGGCGTGAAGAGTCCTAGAGACCTGGCGGTTGATTGTTAGTGATAACTGTGATGAGGAGAGGAGAGCCCTGGGCTGGGTGCAGCATGATAGAATGATTCTGCCTTGATGAGATCTGGCCTGGCTGAGCAAGATTTGGGCATAGGAATCTCCCCTATTGAGCCTATCATCTGCTATGATGTAAGTCATTTCCCCCTCCTTTGTCTTTTTTCTGTAAGGCTGGTTGAGAAGAGGAATGTGGAACCTCAGGCCTTCGGCCAAATGCAGACGTCCTTGAATTCACTGGGGTTGTTATGATTAGCTGTTTCCTTCCCATAACCTGGTCTGAATCCAGTCTGAAATGGATCTAGATGCTCTGTCTCATCCAGGTTTGCCTGGAGTTGGAAGGGTACCAATCACTCTAGTACCTTGGCCAAGAATGGAATATTAGTGACTGGTTGGTAATTATCCAATATAGTGGGATTTAGGGAGGGTTTTTTCAACATGGATCTCACCACTGCCTCCTTCAGGCAGCCTGGAAGCCCTGCCTTGACCAAGAGAGGCATTAGCAGCACTGCATTTCCAGTCATGCAGCCTTCTCTGGATGCTTTTAAGAGCCAATAAGGATAAGAATCCAAAAAGGCAGATTGGTTACCTGTAACTGTTGTCCTTGGTTGGTCATTTGTGCATTCACATATATGGGCTCTGCACCTGTGTAGAAATTCTCTTTGGGAAGTTGCTATAGCTGAGAATGATTTGGGGAAAAACCATCCTCCATTGTCATTGTCAGTATATTACAATATATACTGGTCTTAGATATAGGGGGAGAATTGAACCAACCCTAGTTTGAGTTGAGACAAACTGTTGCTGGCTTGGTATAATAAAAATGTACTAAAGTGGGGATGCGGAGGAAGAAGTTTGTGTGACTGCACAGACGATCACTCAAAGAACTATAGTTACAGGTAAGCAACATGTCTTTCTTCTTGGGCTCTGTACATCCCATATATAGGTGATTGATCAACTTACCTACTGAAGATGGGCCAGTGGAATTATCAAAGAACTGTCGAAAGGACTGGTCTGCTGAATGAAGAGTCTGCCCTGGCACAGATGTCAAGTTGACAGTGCTTTGTAAATGTAGATGGAGTTGACCAGGTACGTAGTTGGAGTTGACATTTAAGTCCTGAAGAGGAATTCCAGTGTGAAGAACAAAAGAAGCTGCCATTGCCTAGGTGGAGTGAACTTTTAGTGGTCCCTTAAGATGTAAGCCAGGTAGCTGATATGCCAAGGAGATTGTTTATACCACCCATAATGTGAATCTCTAGGAGGATACTGGTAGACCTTTGTTTGCCACTACAGCAGAGAATCAGGTTCAGTGAACAGTAAAATGGGATTTTCCTGAGAGCCCAAGAGATGATGTCTGGTTTCAGTGGGAGGGTAGAAAGGGTTGCAGAGCTGTAGATAGTGTGCCCTCTTGTTTGTTGAGATAAAAAATGGTGTTGACTGTGGCAGTTTGCCTATGGTGGTGACAGAAGAAACTCTGAAAAGTCCAATCACTTTCTGTACTACAGGCATTTTGAGATGGGTTATGTCTCTGAGGTTCGAATTGGCTCCAAGTGCCCTAGATGGTGAGAGATCTGCAATGCGCTTCCCACCTTGTGGATGCCACTCTGGAAGGCATGGAAGTCACACCCTGCTGAGATTAGAGTGAGACACACACAAATGAAGATTTGTCTGGATGGGGCTTGGGATCTGAAGACAGGTACAATGAGGGTTGTCCATTGGATTATAGGACTATGGGAATCAGAACGTAAGTGGCCTAATCCACAGTCTGGCTAGTAGAATGACTGTGATTGTGGCTGCCACTAGACCTAGAGGTCACTGAACTTGGAAGCCTGCAGTAATAGGTTCTTTCTGGCTTGTTGGCAAGCTTGATCGGAACAGAAGCCCAAGGTTCTGGTATACTAGTGCCTGTGGAAAGAACATTGGGATAGGCTGTGATGTGCTGGATTGTCTGAGAAGGGGAAAGAAGAGACTTTTTTGCATTTTGCAAAGGCCCAGGGAGTCTAATAAAAACTAGGTAATTGAAATGGAGTGGAGCAAGTCTTGCTTGGAAGGTGCCATAAGCAGCCAGTTATTTGAGTAGGGATAAATTTGCTTTCCCTGTAGGCACAGGTGGGCACAAGCCACTGCCATACATTTTGTAAATACCAAGGGAGCCATAGCCAGATAACTACAGGATAGTAGTAGCTGGTGATGAGCACAGTTAATTGCCTGCTAGGAAAGGATGGAGGCTTCTGCTTGGAAGATGCTGGCTACCTCTGGTCTTCTGGCAATTCATCTGGTTCTCTGACCATAAGGAAGCCTATTTTGTCCCAGAAGAAGAGTTGGTAGTGGGCCATCACAACCTGGTAATTAGTGATCTGGAGGCCAAGAGTA